ACCGTCTTAGGAGAAACTGGCATCTATTGTGTAGAAAAGGTTCAGTTACGGCAAACATAATAAAAATGGTAGACAGATGGTATAGGCTTCTTATATGCGGCAAAAATATTTCTCACTTTCTCATAGTTGTTGTTAATGACATATCAAACCAGTTTATATGCATGCAATGACTACATATCTCGTGCCTTTGTGAACCGTTCATCATCTGAAACCTGTTTTTCAGATGTGCTCATAATCCTTTGATAGAATTAGAATGCGTGCCAGCTATTGGGCCAAGGAAGTCTAAGGAGTGATTTACATCATGGTAAATGCAACTTAATGAGCATTTGATTGGTTGTTCAAGGTTGTTTCTTTTATCTTTGAGTATGGCATCCATTCTTTATGGTTGCCTTTAATGGCTGCGCAAAATAAATCAAATATTTAGTATTTCATCACCAATATTTTTACTTCAACTAGCCATATGTTGATCGATTGTGTGTGTATAAGCTTCTGTTCATTCTTATGTATTGCTCTGAATCAGGATATATTTCTTTCACATTTTCAGTAAGTGATGACAGGGGTATTTCACCGATTTGATTGTCTTCAATTCTTTTGGTGTCTGTTTATTAGGTGAGTGCGAAGACTGTGTCTGTACTGTTTCTACATCTTTTATTACTATGATTTATCCACATAAGCCGTAAAGAATCACACTATATTTATTTCATAAACATTATGTATTTTTCGGCAGTCGATTCAATACATTTATTGAATACTTTCAAATACGAAAAAAGTAGTATTATTATTACCTGATTGCCAATAAGTGTAAATTATCCTCTTGATAAGATACCTTATTACACGTTAACTATTCAACTACATAGAATTACTCTTCAGTTGGTATGGCATTTGAATACAAACATCTGTGTTTTTCATGTTAGTCTAATCACATCTGAGCCTACTGACTGACCGGTTTCAACGTAGAACTTTGCACAGATGTGCACCATTTCGAGTTGCCAGACTCCCTCCATGTAGCACACAAAGCAAGAGCAGAGAGTAAAGAGAGATTCCAAAGATAAAGAGAGATAATAAACAGAAATATGAGGCAAAAAGAATTGTAATATGGAAGAATAATAAGGTTTTATTGGATATTATAAATCACAAACAGTGAATGCATCTGTGACACTGAGAACGATTTCGGGCCATATCATCAATTTTCCCCAACCATCGGTTCTTACCATCCTGAGGACCCGAACCAGTCAGGAAGTCTACACCTCCCTACAGTAATAGCTGTGGATTTCATTGACTGATAAAGCCATGTTTTGGTTTGACAACCACTGGCTATTTTCCAACCTGACCCTATTTCAGCTAGCTAACATTGCCCGTCGAGGAAGGCGATGGCTAGGCATACGTAAGATATGTGCTAAGCATCTGAAATGGTGTAACTTCACAACCTGTTCGACTGATTTTCCCTCCTTACTTAGTAACCAACTCATAACCTCAATATCGCTCTCCGTTAGAGACGAGTGTACCCGAGAAGTTTGTTAACTTCTTGAAAGCCCTATATGGAAACACTTCAGGAAGAGCGAGGGCATACAACCAACTATCATCACTGCTCCCAACCAACAGTGGGGTTAGACAGGGTTGCCAGATCTCTCCATTTCTCTTTAACTTTGCTATCGATGGCATTCTGAAGTCAGTTCTGAAGGACGTGCGTGAAGGTGGTGTAGATCTGCTCCCTGGAAATAGACTTTTCGACCTCGAGAATGCAGACGGTATTGCCTTGCTGTGCGGTAGCATGCAGGCTGCCCAAATCACACTTAATCAGTTGGCGATCAGTGCCTGTAAGTATGATATGTGCTTTGCACCGTCTAAGTTCAAATTACTGTTACAAGATTTGCAGAAGCCTGTTCCTGCACTCAATCTCTCAGGTGAACCAATTGACGTTGTGGATAAGTTTGTGTATCTAGGTAGCTGTGTGAGTGCTGGCGGTGGGGTGATGGATGCGATTTCCAACTGTAAAATGAAGGCTAGGGTGGCATACATCAACTTGAGCCACCTCTGGCGCCGCCGCGACGTTAGTCTGGCTGTCAAAGGTCGAGTATACAATGCTTCGGTGCGGGCTGCCTTGCTGTACGCCTGTGAAACCTGGCCTCTCTGAACTGAAGATGTACGGCAACTCTGTGTATTCGGCCATCGCTGTCTCCGCAGGATTGCTTGTGTTCAATAGGATCATTGCTTGAGCGATTCTTAGGTCCGGCGGGGTGTGTTTGGTCACAGTGGAAATCACCACTCGCTGAGTGTTGTCATCTGGAAACACCGGCTTCAGTGGCCTGTACATGTGCTGCGAATATCATCCCAGAGGGTCCCTTACCGATTTTTGTTCGCTAATCTTTGGATGGGGTGGAAGAAGCGAAGAGGTTGTCAGCCCATGACATGGCGTCGTGGGATGAAGGACATTTGTGCTAGATTAACATCGGTTGGTGCGTCACGACTCCAACCAGGGGGTTGGAGTCTGAGAGATAGCTCGAAACGTTATCGGATATGACCAAGAATGTAATCAATGGCGAACGTGTTGTAATTTCCTTCTTTCTTCCCTTCCCGATGATAGTTGACGAATACTGTTCGAACTTGTTAAGTATGGCTTTTTCCTTCCTGATGAAGTTTTTTTCAGTTTTCCACCCATATTTTTACTATTGATCTATGTTGTTTTATCATTATTGTGTGGCGCATCTTCTTGGTGCCATATTGTACCAAGTTTTGTGTGTTCAAATAATAATATAACCTCACAACACTACTTACAGATAATTATAATGAATTCTACAAACAAAATGGCTAGAATTAACTTCAAAATATTAGAATGAGTCAGAGACAATTCAACTCCCAGTAAGAAATTTTATACAATATGCAAATATATATGACTGCTTTCTTACTTTAAGCGTATTAGATTTACCAAGAAAGAAATCCGATGAATAAACAGTAGAAATTAATTTTCAATTGGATTTAGCTAAGTGAATGAAGGTTCTGGGTTCGATTTCTTGTGAGGGCATGAGAGTGTGCTGTTAAAGATTCCCAAACTAAGGTGAAACATCTGTCCAGTACTCCCTGGTTTACTGATGTTTTGCCTGTCTTTGATAAAAGCATTAAACATTTTTTCTAAATGCCTTGTTGACTTGAACACACAAAAGGACAACAGGAATGTAACAGTTTGAGTAGAACAATTTTGATACGAAATAGGAAGGGTGGGTGTGCTCAATACATACTTTCAGCCTTGACACACATTGGTCACAGTGTTAATGATTACCGCTAGAAAAAACGAATTATCGCCTTAATATATCATGATTGAATTGAACATTGAACACAGTTATCACATTTGTCGTGTTTATGTATTTTCCTACCAGTCTACTTATCAGGCGTTAAGCAATGCTAGAAAAGGGCTGTTACTGTTTACAATCCTGAAGAAATTTGTCCTTTTGTTTCCTTTAAGCACATTATCTTGAATTAATTCACACTTGTACGTATGTGTGCGGGTGTGTCGGTGTAGGCTCACGTTTATTTATTTTATTTGTTTAAACGCGGAAAAACTTGGTACAATATGGCATCAAGAAGATGCGCCACACAATAATGATAAATCAACATAGATCAATAGTAAAAATATGGGTGGAAAACTGAAAAAAACTTCATCAGGAAGGAAAAAGCCATACTTAACAAGTTCGAACAGTATTCGTCAACTATCATCGGGAAGGGAAGAAAGAAGGAAATTACAACACGTTCGCCATTGATTACATTCTTGGTCATATCCGATAACGTTTCGAGCTATCTCTCAGACTCCAACCCCCTGGTTGGAGTCGTGACGCACCAACCGATGTTAATCTAGCACAAATGTCCTTCATCCCACGACGCCATGTCATGGACTGACCACCTCCCCACCTTTTCCACCTCGTCCAAGAGCTAGCGGCATGAGGCTAGCAACTCCATCCTGTAAAAATAAACACTGCTACAGAAACTTCAAGCCTCTAGTCTTAAGCCCTATTTTCCACTAGGAACGTGAGGAGGGAAAAAAACTAATTTCCTGAATAATCCAGTTAGAGCCATGACAAGAGTCCCGTCACCATCTTTAAAAAGATCCTCTGGGCCGGGTGCCTTATGGCATTTTATTACTTGGGGTTCTTTCCAGAATTCCGCTTCGATTGGTGAGTCGGTACTAACCGACCAAAGAGCACTAAGGCTGGTGACAGTGGATACTGAAGCTTGTATCCAGCTAAATAAAAAAAATAAAATAAAAATAAAATAAATAAACTGCTTCTCGAAGTGCTCTACCCAACGTTCCAGGTGTCTTTTCATATTGTTAATTGGCTTGTCATCTGCCTCACGGACCGTTTCGCTAACACCTTGTTTCTTGCTGCCGGTGGCTTAGATGAGCTGGAACAGCTTCCAACTGTTATCATATGCAGCATCTGACTTCATCTCACATGCACGTTCTGGCGACTAGGCTTCTCGGTCCTTGCGTAAACATTGTCTAATCTTGCACATAAGCGCCTTTCGTTTATTGTTGTATTCGCTGCCAGGCGGAATGTACCGGTGTTCATCCAGTAGTTGCAAGGAACCCAGTGGTTTTTAGCGGAGCATTCTTTTAAGCCGCAAGCAGCTGCACTCGCCATTGACATGGCACCCTGCAGTAGAAGCCAATTTTCATCTATACTACTTGGGAATTTGCTGGAAAGCATCGATTGCAACTCATTCTGGTATTTCAAAGAAGTAGCAGGTGCTACCAGTTCGCTTACATCAACATTTAGATGACACCGTTTATGAACCCCACCAAATCGCAAGACGAACTTGGCACACACTAACGCATGATGAAAGTCCAGGCATGTGCTCCAGAAGGAGCGGCAGTCTTGTATGCATCCTCGCCACCGGAAACTGACAGCAATACGATCAATCTGAATCCAAGCTTGATTCGCAGAGGGAGGACGCCAGGTAGCGCTACGGCGATGGTTGTGCCGGGAGTTGGTGCTGGCTAGAAATAGGTCGTGATCCGCGTAAAGCTGCAGAAGACGGTCCCCATTATCTGACCTGCGACCATGTGAGTCCCACTGACCACCTAGACCATCCTCCTCTGAGCTTAGACACCCGACCTGTGCATTCAAGTACCCAGCCAGCACTACAGTATCCCTCCGACCCGCCTGTTTCAAGAGATCGCTCAGATGGTAGTAGAACTCATCCTTAACTGCATCCGGGCTGCAATCCGTCGGTGCATGGGCAGAGATAACATATAGTCACTGCCTATCTGGTCTACCACTGTGCGTCGGTGGCACAGTGGTTAGGACTCTCGCCGACCATGCACATGGTCCGGGGTTCGATCCCCTGCCGGCGCACACCCGATATCTATGGTATGCCTGAATTTGGGCAACCGATATCCATGCTGAAAATTCCATACTTGTACTGAAAATACGGTGTGGAATCAAGCTGTAAATCAAATAATAAATAAATACTTCCGTATAACCTCCCAGCCTCACAGCACATAAACGACTGTTAATGGGGATCCAGTTGAGTAATGCAGCTTCGACTCTAGCTCAGAAATCGATAGCGAGGCTTTCCAATGTTCTTACAAAACCTGCCTGTCATCCGATTTGCGTCAGTGTTCGAACATTGTAGGTGGCAAGCTTGAACGCGGCACGCAGTTTCAGGATATCTGTGTTAGGTGTTGCATTGAAGACAACTATTTTGAAGGCTACTCACTAACATTCCGAAAAGGCACAGATAGGCTGGGAATTCAGACAAAGGCGAAAGGCTGACGAAATTGAAGACGTCAAGGGTAGTAAAAGTAAAACACAGAAGTCTGTGTATAAAATTGGGGTAAAGTTGGAAAAATATGCGTCGCTTGAAACATCACTATTCGAGAGCTGACAAGTTTGTTGTTTCATTCCATTGATTGTGTGAGGACTGAGATACTGCTCGGGCGCCCAGACCGAAGCAGGTGGTTTTCTTAAGGGACCACCCCCGAGCCTTTGACTTGCAGTCTAATCTGCAAGGCAGCGGAGCAGTGTCAAGAGCTACGTTCCCACGGTTGCTGGTGACCAATACAGGTTCATACCGCCATTTGATCCGATTGGATTCTGGAGCCCATGCACCCCATGGTAACTACTTTTAGTCCAACGGCTATCCAAACAACCTTCCTGACATGGTAGCTTGTTGGGTCACTGCGGTATTCAAGCCCAACCACCACTACAAGTTAGCAGTTTTCGGCCGGGAGTGTTCTGAGGTACGTGAAACAGAATTAACATTAGTAGTGCGTGACCATACAGCCCAAAGGACAACTACCCAAGGCCGGTCACACACGACGTGCTCGAATGAGCTTTTCCGTTTGTGTCTGTTTTTAGATCCTACCACTGGCTACAGGCCGTTGTAAGGTAAATGGGGATGCACATTTTTTGGGTCAACCTTTTCTAACAATCCCCTGTCCAGAATGGAGAAGCAACATATCTGATTTTCTGGTTATCTGAAGGAAACATTTGCTGTTACATCTGTATTCACCAGTAGTATGATTTCATCCACAGACCCCCAAATTAGTGCAAATCACTTGCACTATGATGATGAATGCTTTTACTTTAACCGCTATGCAAATGACCTTCATGACTTGGTTAAACCTGCAAAAACGTCCCTTCCATCCGATATACGAGCCTAACCACCACGCTAAGGTAGCAACCACCGGTTGGCTTTGTACAATGTCTTTTTTCATGCAGTCCGCCTTATTTAATACCTGAGAGTGTGGTTGCTCCAACTGAAGTAGATCAAGCCAGAGTTCAAACTAGAACACAATGTGTATTTATTTAAGCTCACATACCAGACTCAGAGCCACATTTATCATGTGAGTGCTGATGATACCACCCAGTCGCCCAGGCTGAAGTAGGTGGGGTGGGGCTTAAACCCCGTGACCTATTGGTTGAAAACCGAGTGCCTAGCCGAATTAGCCATATCACAACACAATAGTTGAAGGTGAAATACTTAAACGAGACAACTTATAGTAATTCATACTAAATTGATGGACGATTGATTTTGTGTTGTTTCATAGGTATAGAGAGGAAAGGAGAAAAGTGACAATATTAATAGTTGTGAAAAACCAACGCAAAAGTAAGGAACAGGTGGTGAAAAAGGGGAAACAGCTTCGTGCAGCTTAATGTATTTTGGTCTACTTATGATCTTGAGATATAGTCAGGACCAAAATAGGTAGAGCAGATTTTAAACCCTAAGGCATTTTGTTTTTGTGTAGATTCTTTGAACCAATCAGCCACATCTTCACGAGTTATTAGTAATTGATATTAAAAATGCAGTAGGACATTCGCTGTCTAGATAAAGACAGTATATAAATGCTCCTTACACTTATGGCTAGTTTTAAACAATACTATATAAATTCTTGTACAATTCACAAAGTTTGTTTCACATAAACTTCAGTTAAAATTTTGTAAACGACCCAAATCAATAATCAGTTCGCATAAATTGATATTTATGCCCTTACGCCACAACTTTGAAGCATTTTCCGTTCCAAGATGTTTGTTTGTATATACTGACACTTACATTGTCCTCTAGGCGCCTTACTGACTGCTCTTGTCTACTGAAAGTAAGAAATCGTTCCTATGAAGATTTCTTAATTACAATCCCACTGGAAAGTCTGTTAGATTATTTGATAACCGTATCATCGTTTAATCCAGTGGAGAAAAAATATGTATCACTTGCATGTTTTGAAGATCAGAAATGAGTGCTTACAGTTTTAATAATCATCATTTTCGAAATCTTCTTATCACTTACGCAGGACTGTTTAACCATTTGTCACAGCCTACCAATTTTCTTCCTGACATACAATTCAATATGTTTTCTTATCCGAATATAACATTATGGTAAATATTTAAACTTTATTGACAACTTTTATAACCTTTCGGAAACACTTTAACTACAACAACTTCAATGCGAAGTTACGCAAAGAGAGAAAGAGCCTTTGTCTTTTTATTATTGGCAATTTTCATACTTCCATATTTATTTATTTATTGGACATATCACGCAGTGGAAACAGTATTATTTACTGGATGACGTTTCGATCACCGTTTATAGTGCATAATTATATCACAATCGATACGATTTAGTTTCAGTGTAAACCTACCGACAAAAATGAGCCTGCATAACCCCTGTATCTTAGGAATCGAAGTACTATCAGGGAATTATTTTGTTGATTTGTCGTATACAGATGATTTCGTCTAACACTTTTTCCATCTGCGAAACACATTCAATAAGGCTGTTTGCAACCCTATATGAATATAGTTGTTCATATCAATTGTCGTATGATTATAAGCAATCAATTGGGTTTAAAACGTCATCCAGTTGCAACGACAGAATACAAAGACCAGGCAACAGATCATTTATTGAGAGAATCAAGAGATATTCATAGATTTTCATGTACATTATTGTAAGCGAAGAAGCAGCGTCTTCTAATTGGTTTTTTTGTTGCTGGAGGTTATTGTGTGTACTGTTTGTGACCGTTATTCGGAAAGTTAAGCCATATATCTGCAAATCCTATTTGCACACGTTAAGTCTGCTGTGATTGGTTGGTGAGTTCCTCAAGGGTAAGCCTTGTTATTGTTTTTTCTCATGACCCTGATTCGGGACGTAAACATTGACGTAAATTGCTGCCTACAATTTTGGCTTGTTCGCGGCCAGCTCTCACCACACAGTGAATAATACTGTTTCACTATGTGGTTATATCTAATAAATAAATTCAAATGGAATTACATACTACCAAAGTGTGCCCAAGTTTTACACAGGTATTTTCCATACTTAAAAGGAACAAAAGTCATTAGTCCTTTTTAATATTTATTCAGCAAGTTGTAAATTACGACTGTAATTCGGTGGTCTGCGTTATCAGTCGATAGTTATTTAGTGATCTATGAAAAAACAAAAAACAAAACAATTTACAAACAGGCTAATGTAAAGTTTTCAGACAAACAAACAAAATTTGCAGCATAAAATATTAAAGTCCACTGAACTGCTGTGAATGTTACAAGTTTTATCGTAACAATCTTAAGCACACTTTATGTATCTCATTTATTTTTTTTGGTTAGTTTTATGTTCTTCCTTTGTCATAATAATTTAACTTGTGAAATAAATTCTTATAATAATTATATGAGTGAAATTGGCCTTTTATCTTAGTGTAAATTTGTAAATTTAATGCCTAACCGATCACTGACTACGTTTCAACACAGAATTTTGCATGGAAGTGCAGTGGCTCACTCCACACACTTCATGTAGCACACATAAAAATAGAGAAAAACAGAAATTCAAAGAAATTACAATGAGTAGAAATGTACGGGAGAAAGAAAATAGTAACATGGAAAATTATGGCTATTTAGTGGATATGCGAGATCACAAAGAGTAAATGTATCTACGACATTAAGAACAATTCTCAACCATACATGCCAACGCTCTCGAGGATCCCAACTGGAAAATTTACACCTCCGTTCGTGACCGACTCATACCCGTAGTCGAAGACTTCATAAACTGATGCTAGGTTCTGGTTTGACCACCTCTAGCCTTTTTTCCAATTTAATCCTATGTCATGTAACATTACCCTTCGAAGATGGCGGTGGTTTGACATATGCAGCACGTCTCCTAGCCGTCTCAATCAATGTAGCTTCACAAACTCATCAATTTACTTATCTTTATTACCTAGCACTCTGCGACTAACCTCAGTATTACTCGCCATATGCGATATACTTAGCTGATCAAAAATCGTAACCAATAAAGTTGATATATATATATATATGTCAACTTTTTTAAAAGCAGCAGGAAGGAAAAAAATCTTGTTTATTTATTAAAGAAGAAACTTGTTTGTCTATACTAGTAAACACTCAGTCACTTAACCCAACCAACTTCTGATTAAATTAGCTAATTCATAATAAACTCATTCATATGAATTACTATTCGGTGGGTGTTATTCATACCGTATGAGAAGCATTTTTGTATATTATTCTTTACAACTAAGCTTTAAGTGATTAAATTATTCCTATCGCAATGTTATTCATGGTGTGTTGTTAGTTTCTCTCTTGTATCGACAACGCGACATTTGAAGGACTTATGTTCTTTCAGTGATTCCAATTTGTACTATTTAGCATCCCAGTTAATAAGGCTAGTTTTGTGCTTTTTGCCTTTAATTCAACTCTGTGATCCCATGGCATACCATTCCTGATCACCTTTTATTATTGTATTCTTAATCTATACCGACCTTTTTTTTCCTTTCTCTTGTCATTTGATCAACTATAGTATTTCTGAGAAGTGTTAAACTTAACTTTCTTGTTTTTTAATCCCCATTATAGGCAGTAACAAACCGAAATACACCTGCGGTGTCATTCACTTTATCAAGAAATGTTACAGTAGTCGTTGAGTATGTTCCTGATCCTAAAGTAGACATGTTTCAGGTAATTTTGTGTAGCATTTTTCAGGAATATTCAACTTTTTGTAATAAATCTTTTAAACTGTTACGTGTTTTCTCTTTTCACAAACAGATATACACAATCCAAATCACTTGTGTTCTGTTTCATGCCAACAGAAAGTTTTATATTACTTCACAGAAGCTGGCAGGCAAATATAACAGTAGTATATTGAGTACTATGGATCTAGGGACTGTATTGATGTTTTCCGTTCAACACGCCTAATTAGTTAAACAACCGTGTCTGCATCAAAAATGTAAAAGTGAAAATGACGAATAGTTCCACTAATGTAAGCATAACGTGATAAAAGAAACATCGAATACCTTTATTGTAAAGATTATGTGGCATTCGAAATCCGCCTGTTTATACGTCTATTTAACTGTCATAGTTTTGTTACCTCCTGTGGTTAGGATCTCCAATTGTCTGCCTGTTGATTCCATGATTCATTGGTTGAGCTTTTCACAAAAAGAGTGGAGTAGTCTGGTGCACTTCAGGGGATCATAGTGATACAGAATTGTGCAGAAAAAGAAAACAGTAACATTTCTACATACACCCATGCCACATTATTTGTGCAAAAAAGTGCCGCACATGTGATCTTGTATATGTAACGTGGTTCAGTTGACTGCATGATACTATGCGGAGGATGTAGATGTTTCGGCGAAGTAACTAACCTCTAATTTTTGATGTTCTGTTCAAAATGGTTATGTCATCTCTCATAGTTTGATAGTCTTCTCCGCATAAAATTCGTGATTGCTGAGACTATGAAAAACGTTTCTGTCATCAAAGTGACATATTTTGTTGCATATTTGTATTCAAATTCTAATTTTACTAGTTAGAGTGAATTTGCTATTTATTAATTTGTATGAACATTTCTCATTGTATTTTTTTGCCTTAAAAATTCATAGATTGGTCGAAGTACGGATGATCACATAGATTTTGTTATATCAGAGCCAAGACTTGCAGTCAATCATGATCGACAAAATTTGAATTACACTGATGATAACAGTAAAAAGTCTAAAGAATCTTCTTCCTCATCAAAAGATAATAATCGTGGGAATTATGAAAGTGCTGTTTCACGTTTCGCTTGTCGTATTCACATTGATCGTGAACCACCGTATACTGCTCGTCTTTATGCTGCTGGATTTGATGCTTCAAATAATATCTTTTTGGGTGTAAGTAGACGGTGTCTTTAACCTTGTTTCCTGTTTTGTTTTGCATTCATAAGTTTAATTTGATTTTCTGTCTGCTTTTGACATAGAACTTTGCACCGATGTGCACCATTTCGAGTTGCCAGACTCCCTCCATGTAGCACACAAAGCAAGAGAAGAAAGTAGAAGAAATGTATAATAAAGACAGCAGACAGGGATATGAGACAGAAGGAATAGTAATAACTAAGGGCAATATAGTTTCATTGTAAATTATAAGTCACAAGGAGTGGATGCAACTACGCTATGCATTGAGAACGATTTTGAGCCATGTCACGATTGTCTCCAGCCATTGCTTTTTACCGTCCCGAGGACCCCAGCCGAGTAGTCTACACCTTCCTACGTGGCTTAAACTAACTTTTGGGTTTCATTGACTGATGAATCCATGTTTTGGTTTGACTTCCGCTAGCTCTTTTCCAGTCTGACCGTATATGAGCTAACATTGCCCATTGTCGAGGAAGGTGATGGATGGCTAGGCGTGTGTAACACATGTCCTAACCATCTCAGTCGATGTAGCTTCACAGTCTCGTCGATTGATTTCCCCTCCTTACCTAGCACTCAACAGATGCCTAACCCCAATATTGCTCACTCTGTTGTACCACTTCACACGGGAGATAGAACGCAGGCACCTACCTATGGTCGAAGACAGCTAATCAACCTTTTCATGTCTTCCACTTTCAGTGGCCAGGTGTCGCTCACAGCCATAAAGGAGGACGGAGTGGACTGCTGAGCAGTACACGCACCCTTTGGTCGATAGCCAGCCGGATATCACGTCTACTAAGCCAGAGATGGCGTAAACTGGCATATGCGAAACTAGCCCTCTGTATTCGTGCTGAGATTTCGTCAGCGATCAACCCGCTATAGCTGGCTAAATCAAATCCTCAAATAAGTGAAGCGGTCGACGTGCTCTGCCACTTCACTCCTGCCTATCTCTAAGCTAGGAGTCAATGTAATCCAGACTATTCCTGTAGCATCATCTTACATTTGTCGGGAGCGAGTTACATGCCAAAAATTAGAAGATTGCAGCTCAATGTGTTAGGAAGACTCTGCATTTTGTCAGTATCTTCACCTAGAAGGACTATATCATCTGCATATTTTAAGTCAACGAGATTATTCCCTGGTAGCAAGTCAATCCCTGAGTCGCTGAAGTGTGTTAGGGTTAAGTTCATTAGTACGTCCATGATGAAGTTGAATAGGAATGGGGATAATGGGCATCTTTGACGGACGCCACTAGTCGTCACCATTTCAGATGACAACTCGCCGTAAGCCCTAACCTGGCTGCATGAGTACGAGTAGAGTGCCTTAATCAGTGTAATGTATTTTTTCAGCATTCTCTTTACAGCCAAGCATCGCCAGAGTACCTCTCGGTCAACAGAATCGAATACCGCCTTTAGGTCAAGAAATATAATGATTGTTGGACGGCGGTAGGAATGCCTATGTTCTAGAATCTGTCGGAGGGTGAAGATATGATCAATACACCCTCTTTCTGGTCTGTAGCCTGTCTGGTTCTCTCGTGTTTGTTTCTCCCGTGAACCGCTTAGTCTACGCATTATTATTGAGCTTAGTACTTTAGATACCATATCAGTGAAGCTAATAGCCCTGTGATTATCACAGCCGTTAGGACTCTCACCGACCATGCACACGGTCCGGGGTTCGATCCCCTGCCGACACACACCTGATATCTATGGTTGGCCTGCAAAATTTGGGCCAGCGATATCATATGATGGAAAATCCATACTTGTACCAAAAATACTGTGTGGTTTTAAGCTATAATCAAAATTTAAAAAATAAAAATAAAGACTTGCCTCCCTTGTATATCGCGATAATCAATGACTTACACGAACAATTTGACTTACACTTATTTGCCTGCCAAATATGTACCATCAATTGCACATATATGAATTTAAATATATCAGTTCATGATAAGAGTGTTTGAGGTATCTTTAACTCAGTATAGTTAATTTCGATAATATAAGATGATCCATATTTGTGTTAGAACTTTAATTAGGTATCTTTTATACCAGTAGTCGTCAGTCACTGTCTAAATGGAGGTTATTGGGACATCGTGCAATTATTCTCACATGTTTCTAACAGAGTCTATGATTATTCTATTTGTACTGTAGTCAATTCATAATTTTGAAGAGTTTTCACTCTCCTTTTGATACCTTTTCATTCTACCTGATTAACTGAAGCTGGATGGACTGTTAGTGTGGTACAATGATTTCTGAATAGATATAATCATCTTCAAGGGGTTTATTGTACCACATAAACAGATTTTTCTGTATACTTCAAGTGATATGAAGCTTACTTGCTCAAAATCTCAATATGAATATTATTGAATATGCCTATTGTGGCTGGATGATTCAATGATAGGATACTTGTCAGTCATGTGGGAGGTCCGGGTTCGATCCCTGATCATTGCTTAGGTAGTAAGTAGTAAGCGAGGAAAAGAGGGGTGGGTGGGTGTGAGGCTAGCAACTCTACCCCGTACAAAAAATCACCACTACTGAAACCTCAAAAGATTGAAGCCTTATTTCTCAATCAGAGCTCAAGGAATGAAAAACTTCTTATGTGCCAGTTACACCACAGAGCATAAACGCTTGATTCCATTGCCAACTCGATGAGGACGATGAATACCTCGCTTAAGAAATCTTATGTCGTAATATATATATATATATATATATATATATATATATCATGGCCCTACTTATCTGACAAGCTTGCTGTGTAGAAATATGACTTGCTTCATTGGATTACATTGAAAATTTGTTTATTTTTACAGGCAATCTTTCGTTTTAATTTTTAGTATACACATATATGTATATATTCATATGAATGCGTAAACTGTTTATTACGTGTTGCATGAATACACGCATAGCTTGCTTCCTATTTTACTTGTTCATCATGATATTGATAAGAAAACTAGGTGAACTGATAAACAAACCGTCAACTATTCTTCTTAGCACTACAGTTCTTCTCCTTCTTCTAAAAACAATTTTATTTTGTGACCTTGTCCTTTTTTGGCCTAGTTCATCATACTTTTTGGAAGTTACTTCTCTATTGTGTTTATCGCATCAAATGTATTTTCTGAAATACATTTGTTCGTAAGCATGTTAGACGTTGCTACTAATTGATATGCATTTACTCTTATTCTTAGGTAATTTAAAGTTTTCACTGACAAGAGATTTTGTTCTGTGAATATTTTGTCATTTTTATGATTATTAATATTGGTAAGGCCTAAATATTTATGCATAGCAATGAATTATATTCCAATTGGTTTCCACAGTTCAACATATCGGTGATGGACTTCTAAGTGCGTTATCATTTTTCCTTAATCGTTCACGCGTTGTACGTCAAATGTTAAAGTACTCGTTGGAGATGTGGTTCATTGTCATAAGAGCCCAGTTTTTAGCCAGAGGATCACAGATTCGAGTCCCGCTCTACCTATAGCAGTCTGGGCATCTGGTCAGTATCATCAACCCTCACATAATAGGTGTAACTTTTACCCTGGTACATGAAAACCTGTCCCAGGATATTGGTTTCAGACATTGACTTAAAGTACTCGGCTTTGTAACAGCTTTATAAGTCGCGGAGTTCTGAGGTGTTTTGTCATGGTTTTTTTTAGAATAATTCTGAGTTTATTAATTATTATAACAGTTAATTGATAAGTCTTCTATCCAACTATTAATGACCTTATTTCACATAATTACTATGAAGTCAATAGTAATAATGATAATATTAATAACAATGTTTCTTTCCTCATATATGATTGTGCAAACCGTTGTGCTATTTGCTAGTCGTTTACTTTATCGTATTAAAATGTCCACCTGAAGTACTCTTTTAGTGTGAATTCTGTTGCAAACTAGTTTAGTGCACTTTTTCACCTAGTTCTATTGATTACTTTATTATTCACTACTGTGACAGCGTATAATATGTTGACTGTTGAACGCATTGGTATGCACTTTTAAAAAAATTGATGGGCGATTGAATTGCTAATGGTGGATTTCTTTGTTTATGTGTGTGTCAGGCTGTTCTTCAACAACCACGGTATTGCTTCCATACTGAATGGTTCATGGAATATTGTCAGAAAACTCAAGCAAATTGGAAAAACAGTCTTCTTTGTGTCAATAGGATTGTGTGTTGAAGATCGGTGATTTTGTTATCAGTAGCTACTCAAAATCGTAAACGACTATTTAATCTGATTCCACTTACTGCATTTCTCAGCAGTACAGGTAGGAATATAAAGCAAGTGGAATTGGAGAGACATTGGAGTGAATAGGCTTCTTACCATGAAGAAAACTATTAATAATAATTGTTATTATTATCATCCCCTTTAGTTTCGAGTAGAACATACGGCCTCAGCACCACATCCCCGTTTCACTGTGTTCACTGTAGTCTTTTTTATTTGCCTGTATGATTCTGCATAAGCTTTCATCTCCTCTCACCATCTTCCCCATATGACTCTCGGACTCCCATCTCGTAGTTTCATATTTTGGTTCCATTCAAAGACCTAATGTGTGATGCCACTCAATGGTCCCCTCGGCATGTTCGATCCATCTCCATTTCCTTCATCTTATTTGTTGGGCAACAGATTCTCGTTTGGTTCGTTCCCGGAGTTATTTGTCGCTAATCCTCTCTGGTCATCCGTCTGATCTTCAGTATTGAGCCAGCGAAGGCAGCTGTTAATAAAAGTCTTCTGCAGACTGTTGGAAATGCTTTTCATGACGCGCTGACTTGACACAACTGTTGAGGATCCGGGTCTTGTTCCTTGTACTAAGTACAGCAGATTTTGATACCGATTTCACAGTCATGAAAGTCTGTCTTGCTTTTCCCATCCTTGCTTTAACATCCTCGTATGTGCCACCTTCATTTGAAATGACGCTGCCTATACAAGTGAAAGAGAATGAATTAATAAATGCTAATAAGAAATGTGCAGCGCACTATACACCCTGAGCAACTTACATTTTCTTACACAAGTCAAATTGCCAGTTAATAAGCTACTTCGTTGATTAATGGCACACTTGGAACTAGGTTACTCTAGCTATATCTCCACCTCATTTCTATCTAGGCGTCAGGATGGATGGTGGCTTGAACTATCTAACGTATAATCCACCCCCCACCTCATCGAAGATGCAGATACATCTATCTTATCTAGAACATTGTAATTTAGTTACCTTTTTACCTTATAATCTTATCACACCAATAGTATACAAGCATATCTATGGTCCAAAACTTGTTACCGTCTATTTTTATTCACCTTCAGTATTTGTAACTTGAATATTTCCATAATTTATTCAGAGTAAAAGTAGTTAGAGCGAATAATTGTTTTTAATAAATTCTTCTTCAGGTTCTACAATTACAAGTCCTTTATTGTAAGCATATAATAGCCAGTAAAAGCAAATTAGAATCATAACAGAAATGTATTGTGGATTTATAATTGGAGACCCTAGAGAAGAACTTTTTGAAAACAATTGTTTGCTCTAACTATTTTTGTTCAGTATTTTTTGTGTTATAAACTTATGTTGTGGATGTGCTCAAACAGTAACAGTGTCCAATCAGTACTAAGCATAGCGTCGGTAGACAACTGAAGACTGGTTTTCTTGAAATGATAAATATTCATTGTTTTGGCGTATAATCGAATTTAAATGTAGTCGGGAGTGAGGATGGATTTCCCGCTGGTGACATTGGTTGGTGGTCGCGCTAAAATCACGAATTGGTAGAAGTTAGAATTCATGAGTTGGCCATTGAATCGGGTCTCAGTGGCTGAATGGTATACTAGCTTGCTTTCTAACCGGGAAGTCCCGGGTTCGAACCCTGGTGGTGGTGGGTGCGTACTGCCGATGATTCCCAAACTAGAATGAAACAGCTGTCCCTGGTTTTCAATGATTCTGTAACTGATATCAGCCGTCGTCAAACTCGTCGAAAATTAAATGTATTAACTTTAAAGACTAGTTGAAATTCTATTTTTTGTCTTGAAAAGTAGTACTAAGCATTATTGTTACTTATGATGAATTTATTTAATAAGCATTTGTATATGATCATGGCTTTCATCAGTTGATTTCATTAATTGGATTTTATTCGATTTTTCCCCTTCTTCAACTAACTGATTCTCTTATATATCATATAAAAAGTGGAATCAGTACTTAAAGATGATTATGGGATAAAATCAGAGCAGCTAGACTTGTCACCTCACATACACCCGCCTACCTAACGCCTTATGTCAATTTGCTTAATTTTATTACTGGCTCATTGAAGCAGGATCTGGTGTTTAAATCAATTGTATGCAAAGTGCAAAACTGACTCAACCTTGTTTCTAACCTGTCTTAGTGCACTGTTGATTATCTTAGCCTCAAACAAATGAAATACCTCCCACACACAGTCATTGTAGTACATCACTACTCAGTTTGGCCTAGCCAACACTTATGATATCACTCAGTTTTGCTTTGCTACTGAATGCGGTACATTTGTGTTAAGCCATCTCTGTTTATTATTGTCCATATTGCGTAATCCATTTAACAAATGAACCGCATGAGATATGATTCAGATCAAGGTGAAACAGGTGAAAACCACTGTAACCATTCAGGAATTAAGTTGGACAACCATTTCTCTTCAGATGAAGTTGAATTCATCAAATTGACATAACTGACTGAAATAGTCATTTTTATTATGAAGTCTTCTTATAATTAAAGTAACTATTCTTGATTGACTTTTTAAATGCTAACAGAAGTAATTGTTTAGCCTCAAAAATATTTTACTGCTATATATTTCTAAACAAGAAATGTCTGTTGATTTTATTATTTATTCTATTTATTTATGTACAATGCTCTGTGAAATGATCTATGTCTGTCTATTTAATTTGTATATGTTGCTTTTACTTTTGTTTTATTAAAGGAACGTGCTATAAAGTGGAAATGCGGTAATTCTATGGATGGTTTAACAACAAATGGTGTCATGATGTTACGCATTCCCCCAGCGAAAATTATTGACCAGACGAATCAATCTGCAGGTATCTATTTCGCCTTTCAGTGTTGTTGTTTTTTTTTTTTTGAAATTTGTAGACCATAGTAACACAACAGTAAGGTGAACCATACTGTCGTGTTATACGCGTAGAGTAAGTTGCAGTTGACAGATTGCTCCTGTTTCTGCAGCGGAATATCAAAAGGTATGACTGGATCGATGGTATGCTCTGTATAGTCTTTCACCTCCTAATTATAAACTCTTTGGCGCATGTTCACACAGCCTTTCAGCAGCGAACCTCTCTGTTCTTCCAAAATACATGTCACTTCAGGTACTGCAGGCACATGGATACAAGTAACACCGGGAAGTCTCACATCCATATTTGTTCTCCTGAGCATGTTAATTTCTCTACAGAATAGATTACATTTAGTCAGCAATTATTTTGTGAAAACAGTCTTTTGCCTTTGAATAGCACTACTGCATATTTTCTTCTTCGACACGGTTGTTGCAACCGAGTTTGATTTGAAGTACTCAATAGTGAACTTTATACGATATCGCTATTAATTCATTTTCAATAACCTCTACAGAACATGATCGGATCTCCTTTTGATCCAAATAACGTATTCTATGAATACAAATTCAGGGATTTTCTTCCTCTCCACATATCTTCATTCTAAATTTTGCTTAGTGGAAAAAAATATGAACTTAATATTTTTTAACTGGACTGAATGAATCACTAATCTGTCACGAACTGATATCACTTTTGTATCAGTAGTCGTCCTTTGAGAATACCTGAATAGTTCAAATGATTCTCTCTTATGTGAGTTTTTCTGCGGGAATGCGTTTCTCTCTGTGTCCAGAGCAGTTGTCTTACTTATCTAAATTTATCTAAATTCATCATTGGCGTCAAATTAGCTAAATGTGTTATCTTATTTACAAAATCTGTATATTTGATATATTTGGGACACGGAGTTCTGATGATCTCTCTCTCATGTGCGCATATTCATGTCTACATAATATCAGAAATAGATTATTGTTTTTAGTTAGTTATCATTTTGAACCTAAAACACCTGACTGTGTTTCTATTAAGAAGTAGTGAAATAATTCAATACCAATTTTGCATGACGTCTATGAAAAGAGTCATTTGTCTAATTTTACATCTGATAGTGACTTGTGAAGTGAGATGCACACAGTCAGTTTCATTCTACCCAGTAGTATTGCTTAGATGAATTTATCTGCCTCCTGTTGCGACTTTTTTATTCATTCTAGAGAAACACCCATAGCATCATATGAAAAAAGAACGATATTCATACTTTTTCAACGGATATTATGTGTTTGGCAATAATAAATATTTCTGAGTTTTAATTTAGTGACTCGCACGGATCAGTTGACCATTCTTTTTATTATCATATGAAGAATACTTGTACTATTGATTCTGTAAAATATCTAATTACAGATAAACTAAAGGAGCTGGTAGAAGCAGCTCGCGTACTAACAATGATTCGTAAATCCCGGTTGGCTTAAGCCAACAAAGTAAACTATCATAACTTTCGATAAATTTGTATTGGTTTGAATAAAGTTTATGTTAACTCAATGTTTTTGTGGATAAGGCTTCAAGCCTGAATATCGAAATACAGCCCACAGCACTGTTTGTATTGTTTAACTTGATGACAACACTGCACAGGAGTATAGTGTCAGGATGACATAAAGCAGTGAATCATGGGATCAAAACAAACAGTTTGTTAAGGTAATTAAGAATTACCTCACACATTTATTCCCCTTTATGAATTTGAATAAAGCAATAACAACAGTTTTTTCAGAATTAAATGGTTCCATCATTTATTTCGTTATCTTCTTATCAGCTGCTGACAGACCAAAGACATTATTAAGTTTACCTACAGAAACAATTAGTGCGTCGGTGGCACAGGGGTAGAATTGTTGCCAACCACACACGTAGTCCGGGGTTCGACCCCCCGGCCGATGCACTCCTTCACCTCGCTAAGCCAGTAATAAGACTTCTAAAGAAGGGCTACCAACCGTATCCCGTAAAAACAAACACCACTGCTACCGAAACCTTAATTCTCTAGCTTGAAGCCCTATGTTCCACTGGGAACGTAAAGGAATAAAAAAAAACAATTTAACATATTTGCATAGAGTTCATTTTTAAACAAAAAATCAGTATATGCATACAATGCTAGTAATAATAAACACTACCCCAAACAATAATAATCAGACATAATGGAATCTTTCGGCGTTACGTAATCAGATGGAGGAGGGGATGAAAACATCTAGTTACCAGTGCAAGGCAAGACTGATAACCGCTACTTTCTGAATGCATAAATTGGGTTTCAGGCGCCTGATTGAGATTGCTTCGGCAAACCTGAGGAGATTTGAACTCTTGCCTATTGATAATTTTGAACGATCTTATGCCGTCAAGGAGATGCCTGGCGATGACACTTTTGAAAGCATTTGCTCCATTATGTATGATTATTATTGTTTGGGATAAAATGATTGTTATTATTAGCATTGCATACATTGATTTTTTGCTTAAAAATGAACCTTGTGCAAGTGTGTTAAATTGTTTCTGCAGATAAACTTAATATTGTCTTTGGACTGTAATCAGCTAATGAGGAGCCAACGAAATAAGTGGTGGTATCATTTATTTGGCAAAAACTGTTGTTATTGCTTTATTCAAATTAGGAATTATTTAGGCGTCCATTTCTTCTTTGTTTTTTATTTCTCTTTTGGTAATGATAATAATGATAAAATCGGACGGATTTTCTCTTAGGTTACTTTATTTATTTGTGTTCTTTTCACATGTGTATCCTGCAATTGTGTCCTTACCTTCCACACGCATTACTGAATCGCTTACAAATTGTACAGACTATGAGTAAGTGATGAAATCAGATAAATTTTACTGTTTATTTATTTGTAACTTTTGTTTTCACTTAATCAAACTGAGCTATTTAATGACCCTGAGCGAACCTACTGAATTACTTCATCATGTGTTACTGGATCGTCGAGTGTGTGTGTGCGTTTTTTTGTTAACTCTTCTTTTATTAAGACTGAAATTGTTCCCTACTCATAATAAGCCATAATACCATATATTAGGGATATTCTGATACTTTAAAAAAGCAGCCTTAATTGATCATTTCGTACGGTTCAATGACATTCTCATCAAACCTTTCATATATATATATATATATATATATATATATCCTATGTTTTCAACATAGTTATTGCTTTATCTATCAATGTTCATCTGTTCTGTCTTCAACGATATGGTCTGTGTCTACAACGCTTTCTCAGAACCAAGATTTTCACTACTATTACTGTTCTTTTTCAACTAAAGGACAGGTCACCTAGCTGGAAAATAAACTCTGTGAAATACACTAATCGACATAATGAATTTTATTCAATCCTGGGAAAGCTTTAGACGCCACTCTGTGATTGTAATCCATAGATTCAGTTAGCGTGTGAGACTGTTGTTATTGTTTATGATTTACTGTAAAAACTCAACAAATGTAGATTGAAGCCATAAATCCTACTAAAAGCGTACACCATATGTGCGACATATATGTTACCTTGCCCATAGTTTGCCTTTCATAACTATGCGAGGCTGTAGTCCTCTACTTAAGATGCTCGATTATCAGTTACTAGGTTACATTCAGACTTCAACTGTGCTTCCTGAGGATTGAAAAAGTCAATGGACTTCATTAATTGTTTCAGTAAGATGGAGTGAATTGCTTAACTGTGATTCTTAGTATGTTAAAAATCAAGTGTTGGCAACTTTTGGTGTACTGGCTGGAAATTATTCACACTGGCGTATATATATATATATATATATATACATATATAGGAGACTTTCTAGCGAGCTCAGTAACAGAACAAGTGTTTGAATAAAAATCCAAGTTAGTGAGGTGATTGTGTAACAGTATATTATAAAAAAATACACTAATGACTTTTATAAATTAATCGGTTACTTGGTTTTACAGTTAAAGTTCACTGCTAAGGTCGTGTCTACTGGTAGAAGCTGTGCACCGGTTGTAGAATAGTCTTCGGATGAAGATAAGAGGTTCCTGCACACCCAAGGTATATAACACGGTTAGTAGTTAAACAAGTAGACACTATAGACTATTTAGAAGATGAAGTGACCAGCAGCACACTGTATTTCAGATTGTACTCGAAGTTATGTGTATTTCAACATGAACCGTTTTAAACAAATGTTATGTACAATGTTTATAATTTCACCATCTAACAACAACAAAAAATGTACAATCGTTTTGTTACAGACTCCATATATATATATATATATATATATATATATATATATATATATATATATTCACTCTTTATTATCGAAATCGTTAATATTATCTGTGTAAAAAAGTAAATTTTCGACCAAAAGTTGTACACCTTATTTTGATTTGTTAAGCAATAAATGTTAGCATACACTTCACGCTTAACCCGGTCTTTCAACGTATTCATCCAGTCTTTGTAACTGATTTCAAGTGTAATGAGACTGTTGATTACGAAATCTAACTGAGATTGTCTGTGACTAAGAGTGATGCATTTGTCCAGCAGTGCAACTCAGGAAGTATCAAAAATGTATTGTGTTTACTGATTTATTCCTTAGTAAATTATATTTTCAACTTTAATTTTAACCCCTTCTAATTTATTCACAATGTATTTTTGTTATCATATTCACCGTAGTTCTAATATTCGATCTCAGTGGCGTGAAGTCAGTGTTTGTGGTTCCGTTTACGAAATGCGAAGCAATCGATGTATACCAACTAATCTGGTAAATTGCAGAGAAAAATTTCACTTTACTAGTATTTAATAGCTGTAAATGCGTGTATATATATATATATGTATATATATATATATATATTATTTCCCTTATCTGTCATTGAGTTTATTCATTGCTATATGCTGATAGTGGAGATTTTTAATATAATTCTGGTGACAAAGTTATCTAATAGGGACCTTATGGAGAGTTGCATAGTAATTTTGATCTAGTTTAGCATCTAAGCCAATAACTGCATAATAACAGGTTGGCGACAATAACTAATGGTCGTAGGTGCACAATTCTGAGTAGTCACAAACTATGTAATGTAGCAGCTTGAACTGCTGCACTTATGTGCCACGTTCTACGTTGAAAACTCAGTCGCAAACTAGACTGGAGAAGTTGTCTGATAACATCTATCAATAAAGGGCTAGTTAGCTGGAAGATCTTAGCTAAAACCAATTGTACTGTAGAACATCGCATTAAAAATATAAATAGATTCTCAATAATTTGAAGTGCAGCATCTTACGCTAACGATTCACAGCTTGAGTAGTGTAAGTTCAAGTACTTGAGTTGTTCTCCGAGCTGGAGTTATAATGGTCACTTATTGTCAAGTCAGTCTAAACTACATATTCATCAAGCTGTTAGACGGGAGGGGGGCTTCAAAGCTTCACATCTTATATTCCACTAGAAACGCAAGGAATTAAAGGGAAATGCTACCAAATGATGGGAAAGGCATGTCGTTTAGCTGGCACAAATTAATTTCTATGATTGCTGACTTAATTAAGTGATACCACAATGAGTGAAACAAAGGTGAACAGCATTTCGATAAATGATTATCCCAGTAACATTTCATAAATATATATATATATATGTTTATGTATATAAATATTATTAATTGCTCTAAAAAAACTACTCTCAGTGATACATAATAATTATCGAGCATAAATTTCTGGTAAACAATTAAACTGACAAATAGTTGTAAAACTGTTCGCATAACCGGAAGTCAGCAAATACAAATCCTCATTTTGCATAAAACACTTCACTGTTACTGTAAAATTTATTCTTTTCACAGTTTTTGTCGGGAATGATAACCTTAACTTAGTAGAGTGATTATCACAGTATTGGAAGGACCTAAATAACTCAGGTTATCATTTATTAAAGTAGTAAATACTGGTACAGTTTTACTTCTGTGAGATTTATATATAGTTTAGTCAGCTACCGACCAGTCACTGTCGCCTCCTTCATTCAGTTCAGTTTCTCCGTGGACAACTAGTAGACTGAGATGACGTCAATTAGGAAACAGTTACTTTTTGCTAGGTCAGTGGGCAAATGGCCAATATTTAAGGCATTTTAAACGAAACGAGTTGTCGTGGTTATCTAATCGATAGAGAATCACACTGTTAACCTGTACCTGGTTGATTTTAATTCTACTAAGAATTAGTTTTTTCCTTCAGTTTTAAAACACTGAACTATTAACCTGTTTAGAGTGCTTTCCCATAGAATAATCTTAGCCTTTGAACATTTTGACTTTAAAATGAGTCTGTGGAATTAGGCAAGAGAAAAAAAAGCGTTTTAGTTTTATAATCGCTGATTTCTATCAAGTCAGTTAAAAAATATATGCCGATATTACTGTGTATACTTGCAATGTGCGATAATGATACTTTCTGTTGGGGCTCAGTAACGTCGCCAAAATTTGTTATGGGTATATGTGATTAACAGTAATAATTATTCTGTAACTAGGGTTCAGCATAGGAAGGGAAGCAGTAAGTAACTCATCTGAATACTGAATACCGGTACTGATTTCCAGTCACTCCCGAGCCTGTTCATCAAACAGAGATAGAAGACAGATTGATCCGAGCCGATGAGAATTAATCGATCTTTACTTTACAAAAAATGCATTATTATAAGGAAGTATTATCTACTTCAGAAAGTCAAGCTAATAAATAACTAATTTAATTAGTTGCATAGGTTTGGACTGCATTATAAACAAGTATTCCATCTCGGCATGGTGGTTTAAATTTGACCAAACAGCCTGTTTTAGCAGGTTCTTTATGATTAGACAGAATCAGGTGGTATATAAAACTGGTAAGGTTTTCAGATAAATTGATCTTCGCTTACTTAAAAGTCATTTTATTTCTGTCTGGCAGTGCGTGATGATTCCACGTTCATCCGTTTATCATGTAGAGTGGAAATGTTACACAATCTGTTTGTATATAATATACGAACATATTTTAAAAATGCTTCTTTTCAACATACATGTTGACTTTATTTCTATAGTAAGATGAATTTCCCATTCACATTTTGTTTTCCACTCTAGGTTAATGAAGACAATGTCCTCACAGATATGACAATTATAGATCTATGCGGGGTAACTTTGTTGTGGCGATCCAGATCAGGATTGAGATATACTGCCTGTTCAGAAGATCTCATGAAAATGGTAACTGCACTTTCTCTTGCTCACTTTTCTTTCAGTCTGTTCATTGATCATTTTCGGTGTTATACTTTGGCCTGTTTTTTCTCTCTGTAATATGAATTTAGTAATAATGGTGTCGCTAGGAGTAATAACATGCCTAGACTTGTCTCTTCTAAGGAGGAGATGGCTTTACTTTTTTCCTTCGGTACTGTTTTTCTGTTTATATATATACATACATAGTTTTGTGGTGATAAGCATACTTTTATGATGTCTTCCATACATGTTAGGCCCCTTTTTATTAGGATCAAAGTGGAAAATGAGAAAATTTTCGGGCCTTTAAAGAAAAAGCTTTTAAAATCCTACTGTTGAATACCTTAGACTGTGTATTTCCTACATCATGTTAGTTTCCAGTAAGATATTTCGTTTGACGTCCTACGTAAGGAAGTTAATGCGATCTGGTATCATTCCGTCTCTACTGTTACAGTCAATTCTACCCACAGTTCTTGATTGCTCCTCCTCAATCTTTCCCGGGCTACTTAAGAAAGACTTTGTTATACCGAGAAGGGCACTGAAAGCCGTCAGTAGGGCGACTGGGGTGTTGCTAAACCAACTGGTTTATACTAGTGTAGAGAGACACTTGGATTCCTGCGAGGAATCAGCAAATATTATCTTGTCACACTCTGAACACCCTTTCTATTCACAACTCTCTCCTTGTACCTCATTGGGTAAAACTAGAAGTAACTATGAAAGACTGTATACTCGGGCGAATAAGTACAAAAACTCTACAATACATAGACATTCTATCTGATGCTAAAAGTGTAAGACAGGAAATTTCCAACTTACTGTGGAACTCTAAGTAAACTATAAAAACTAAAGTTTCGAAGTTGTGTGATTATAATTGTGATATGATTATGATCAATATTTTGTGTTCAAAACGTCATCCACTAAGTAATACTGTTTCATCGTGTGATATATCTAATAAATTAATTAATATGGAATACCATAGCTTAACTAGATCCATGCTGAAAGTTACTCCAAGTATCCAACTTAAGTCGCAACATCGATTCACATACTAATTGATTTAATCTCTGTGATTGGTGTGACTTTAAGTTCCTTAGAAAAAAATAACGACAGGGGATATCCTCGGAGAAATAAGTTATATTCCATGCCATGCAGATTCCTTCATACACTGATTTTCATGTTCTATGCCTTCATCAACCTGAAACCAATTTGGAAATCTTCTACACTCAACATAAGTAAAAAGATTCGGATTTTTAACACCAATGTCAAGTCAGCCAGATCTTCTATACGGGTCAGAAACTTACACTGCGTGTCACGGAAAGGATTTCCAACAGGTTGAAGACTTCTATCAACAGCTTCCTTCGCTCCATACTGAAGATCAAATTGCCAGAAAGAATAAGTAACAAGAAACTGTGGGAACGAACCGACCAATGGCCGATCTTTCAACAAATATGCAGGAGAAAATGGAGGTGGATTGATCGGGCGTATATTGAGGAGGCTGTCGAATGACAGCACGCGTCAGGCCCTCGAGTGGAATCCTAATGGGAAGCGACGAGTTGGTCGTCCTAGGGTGACATGGAGGAGATGAGAGATTGTGGGCAATCGTGATCCAAGCTGATGAGGACAGCAGAAGATAGGACAAAGTGGATATGTGTTGTTGAAGCCCTATGTTCCACTCGGAACTCAAGGGAATAATAAAATATAATAATAACACCCTCTTTTTTCAACTTGTTTAGAGATATGAATCCGTTCTACATTGTTAATGTGTTCACTTATTCAAAGTATATAAAGTCCATCACAATCGTTTTGACGGAAAGTAATTGTCATTGTTATCCTACATTGTCGCCAGTATTTCTACTATAGAATTTCTTAATTACGTATGAAATCAGGGTATAGTAAATTTATTTGAAAGTTATTACTAGTAGTGTTCTGTAGTTGATTTCAATTATTGGTTTGTTACACAACGTAGAATTAAGGCAATTAAAAAAATAAATCATAATTTTCTCCCTAAAAATTTGTTTTCATTTTTTCTCATGGTGGTGGTGGTGGTCTGTTATTTTGGTTTTATGGATATTTTGTGCTGGTGAGTAGTTTGCTCATGCTGTAAATCTAGGGTCATTAAACATTTGTCTTAATTTTTTTAAAATTACCTACCATCATTTAAACATTAAAATTGCATGTATAACTTTCCTGAAGATTGCAAATACTCCCTGTTATTGAGACTAAACATGGTTTTTCGGTTTATGGACAGTAGATTCGTTTATTTTTCGAAAAACGCCTACATATTGCACCCAATTTATTTGTCGTTATGTATAAAAGTATGGCTTCAAATCGCATTTATTTACTCTAGCGAAGTTTTAAAATTTTCAAGACCAAGTGATTTTCAGGTTTCTAACAAGGCTAAGAAAAGCGTCACGGTGGTTGGAAACGGTCATACCTATACATTGTACTAATGTCCCTGTTATCATTAGTGCCAGCTACTGTTCTCTTCCCAAAAAGATTATTTATCTGTAATCTCTCTTATCCTCTGATACTTATCACAATTTGTCATCATTTCTCTTTATCCTAAAGCATCTACCCTAAAGGACTGACTACTGCCGAAACCTCAGCATGAATATGAAGGACTTATGTTTCACTTTCCACCTTATGTTATCTCTGGTGTAGACGTGATATTCACTATCCGTCAAAGGGCTTGTGTACTGCGCAATAGTTTGCTCCCTCCTCCTTTATGGTTGTGAGACATGAGCACTGAAAGGCTAGTTATCATTGACGACAGAAGTTTGCCCTCTATCTTGTATGTCAAGTGGTATGAGACAGTGAATGATATTGAGGTGAGATATATAGTGGTAGGTTGGGAGGGAAAGTCAATGGAGGAGGTTGCGAAGCTATATCGATTGAGATGACTAGGATGGGTGTTATGTATTTGAAGGCATCACCTTCCTTGTTGAGAAACATTAACTGACATAAGATTAGGTTAGAAAAGAGTAAGGAACAACCAAATTAAAACCTAGCAACAGTCCATGAAGTCTTCGACTGCTGGTTTGAGTCAGCCACGTACGAAGGACTAGATTTTCCATTTGGGATTCTCGGGTTGGTAAAAACCAATGTCTTCAGACTGTGTTGGTGATATGGTTGAAAATCGTTCTCAATGTCACAGATGCATTCACGCCTTTTAATTTCCAAAATCTACTAAACCGTCATGTTATTTCATGTTGCCATTTTTGTTTAGCTGTCTCTAAGTCAGGTGATAAGAACCACCTGAGATATATAGTCGGTGTGACTACCTAACTCAACTGCACGATAATCCAATGCATTCTCTTTTACAATATAAGTGCTCTGAAATAATCTCAATCTAAAAAAATCAGTCTTTTAAAATGTGGTACATTGAATAAATATTTTGCTCTGTTTATTTTTCTTGTGTCAATATTTATCTTTATTTTGTTTATTGTCTCATTTCTTCCTTCTTATATCACTTCAATAGATCAATGGATTAAATCAAGCACATATTCAATGCCCTGTACTTTTTCGTACATTGAAATTACCGCTTTTACCTCAGAGTACAAATATCTCTCAGTGTGATGCAATGGGCTTTGTAAATAACAATGAAAATTTAAGCAGCGAAAATAATCCATCTACAGAGCATACAGATCAAATTAATCCTGATCAAATTCCTCATGTGTATGTAAGTTGTGGTCATGTACATGGTTGGCATAATTGGCGTGCAGCAAGTGATATGTAAGTTTGATGGTTTTTTCTATATCTCTTCCTCTCTTTGTCGTAAAGAATCGGCGTCCTTCTGTAACTAAACAACACAAACAAGTCATCTCCATTGTAAAAGGGCTGTGATACTATCTAACTGCTTAAACCCTGGTCGATAATGTGAATTTTTAACTTGTAATTTATCGCCTGACTTTGTAAACATATAATTCAGTTATCCTCACCGTTATACACCCATTGACTGGGTATTGGTTTTCAGGAGAACCAAACACACCCATCCCTGCCTCTTGCGAGACGAGACCGGCATGCAGGATCATCCTGTGGCGCAACCACTCGAGAGCCCTCTCCCTCGGTGCAGAATTAAATATAACTTCTCATTGTTCTTTTTCCCAAAGTCGTAAAACACCTGTAAAACAGTTCAATATGAAAATTTTTACACAGAATAATTTGCTTGCAGTAATACAAGAACACAAAGTTTGAAACACCTTCAATGAATGTTAAAAAACAATGTCTTTGAAAGAGATCGTTTGCGAAATCACACTCTAGTCTCGCTACATAAATTCTAATGCAAACACATCACTTTACATCTGCCTTCTTTCTAGGCTAGTATCGTCTGAATAAATATCTGAAACACCAGTGTCTACTTTTAAGTATGTTCATTGAAATAGTTGTTATAACAGGAGAACAGAGTATGTTTCTAGTTAAATGACAAAGTGGTTAAGAGTCGCTTAACAGAAAACACTCTAGCTGGGGAATATAATTCGCGCATTTGACTGCATGAACATTAATAGAAGCATGATATCTGACAGAAGTCATGGGAAATTGTATGCATCTTATGTGACTGTACTCTTTCTTCTCTTTTATATCGGTTTCTTTTCGATATACTATTTTTATTATACACTCACCAGCGCCCAATTATTGTTTAATTCAACATAGTTACGAAGAGAAATTAGAGGAGATACTTGTTTTCAACTTGATATTTGTTTGAAGGTGTAAGTATAGCTCACGAGGAACAAAAAGAAACAAAATTACGCAAGATTGGAAAACAGTAACGAAGACAAGTATTAAATGGACTGATCAGAGAGACAAATTGCAAAGAAATGAAGGGAACGAAGAAAGGGCGAACTGTGGAGTCAAACTCAACTAGATCCTTGGTAAATGTAAAAGTTAAACTAGTTTCTTTCAATCAGAAGCAGTGTAATTGAACACGTTGTCGGTATCTATCACAGCATTTCAACTAACTTATTATTCAGAGTCATTTACAAAGCGAAAAAAACCTACTATAGGCATAGTGTTTCCTGCTTTTTTTGTGCTATGCAGGCCCTCGCCACATGCATCGACGTACAGGAGGTGTGTATTCAGAAGAAACTACTCTTACCTACCCCTACATTTAGCATGGATCCAGTTCTGGTTGGCTCCGTGGTTGTTGTTTTTCCATTCCCTTCATTTTTTTCAATTTGTTCCTATGTTCACCAAGTTCACATCTGTCTTAATTAAAAACTACTGTACATGCTAGGTAACTATTTTCTAATCCTATGTAATTTTGTTTTTAAGCCTGTTGTGATCCGTATTCACACCTTTAAACTTTCAGATCAATTTAAAAGTTATTGTCTCTTCCAATTCCCCTTCGTTATTAGTACTATTATTCCCTTGGGTTCTGAATGGAACATATGGCTTCAACAATACGTCTTCACTTTGTTCTATTTTCTGCTGTCCCCTTTAGCTGGGCCCGCGATTGTCCATAATCTCTCATCTCCTTGCATTCGGTGGTCTCTTCAGTGTATGTCCAATCTATCTTTATTTTCTTCTACATATTTGTTGAACAATAGGATCTTAATTAGTTTGTTCCCATAGTTTCTTGTTGCTAATTCTTTCTCTCCACTTTACCTTCAATATAGTGCCAAGGCAGCTGTTGATAAAAGTCTTCAATCTTTTGGAGATACTTCTCGTGAAGTGCCAAGTCTCTCACTCATGTAGAAGAACTGACTTGACATTGATGTTGAAAATCAGAATCTTCTTCTTCATGCTTAAGTGCAGACGATTCCCAAACCGATGTCAGATTGATGAAGGTATATCTTGCCTTTCTGATTCTGGCTGACTTTGACATCTTCATCCGTAACGTGTGCCTGTGGTTGAACAATGCTTCCCAGATAAGTGAAGGAAGTAACCTCCCTCAAATCTCTCCTTTTGGTAGTGATTAGTGCTGGTTGTTATTGCTCTTGGTAGTGATTGGTTATCTTCATCACCTCCGTTTTCCCGATGTTCACCTGCAGTCCTGTCTTCGCTGCTTCTTCAGCCAGTTTGTTGCTTTTCTCCTGTATGCAAGTTTTCGAGTTTGTGTGACATCAGACATAAATCATCTGCCGACAAATCTAGATCTTCTAGAGTCTTCTTACCAGTGGTTCGGTGTATTCCTCTCTCCTTGCTCCTTTCGCACCACTCGACGCCTAATCCAGTCCATCACTGTGAGGAATATCATTGGCGATAGTTGTAAGCAGCCTTGTCTTACTCCTGTATTCACTTCAAATGCCCCACTGAGTTTTCCATTGTGGATCACCTGACTTACACGTGGCATTGACATACAGTCAATTGTTGAATGAGGTTGATAAAGGTTTGGGTCACTACACTCCGTAGTGTTGAATCAGTTCCTAAATTACTTCTCTGTCAACGCTGTCTGGTGAAGGCCTTTTCGAAATCGATGAAGTTGATGTAGATAGAGATTTGGTTCACATTCTATGTTTTGTTAGATGATGATGCATAGAGTTGCAATTTGATCAGCACATGATTTGCCTCTCCTGAATCCAGCTTATTCCAGTGGGTGGCGGAGTTCTGTATCCAGTACATTTTTTATTCTCTCCCTTCGTTATTATGTTGAATTAAATAATATTTGTAATTATGTCAACGTGTAGAAGGAAAATGCATATAAATTGCAATTGTTCATCTGTTGTTGAATGTAATCACTGGAAAGCTATCTTCACTGAACTTCTTATTCTCTCTATTTTCCTCCTTTGCAATTTGTTAACAAGCACATTGTAACCTTTCTGTTTTTATCTCCATTGTTGTGTTTTACATTCTATTAATTAGAAATAATAGTCGTCGTACTTGCCCGCTGTGTTTACAAGCTTCATCATTTATTCCATTACGCATGGGTATTGAATCGGCATTCTATGTTGATCGAAGCTTAGCTACACACTGTTTCAATCCTTGTGGACATATTGCATCAGAAAATACTGTACGGTGAGTATAAATGTTTCAATTGTTATATTCGTTTAAATTACATTTCAATGTTTGTACCGATACATTTTTGGTATATGTTGTTCGCTGTCGTGACATCGGTTACTATCCTTCGTTGTTATTTCAATAAGTTAATTGTAACTCTTATTGATTTTACTATTCTTATTACTCACTGGTTGTATTTTACACTGTTGGTTACTGTTATTTCATGCAAGACATTTTGATTTACACTATTCGCTAGTAAATGTAGCAACACTTATTCCCCTATTAATGGGAAACTAGTTCAGTCTTCTGATCACAAGCAGTATTCCTTTCCTGCGTAAAAAAGAACAATGTTACTTTCGGAAAATGCATTTAGGATTCATGTGAGAGTAGAATTTGGACACAGGGATTGACTAGTTTTATACTAAATAGGTTTATTTTATATCACACACAGTGGAACAGTATTAATAACTTGATGACGTTTCAAGCACAATGTATTTCTCCTAATCATACTAATGATGTGATCTGTGTTCTGTCAAATAGACTCATAGGGAGTTGCTTTCAAAATTTCTGTAATTTGTGGTTTTCGAACTCTTTGATGTTAACGTTTTGGTTTGTTATATGATTGTGTGATTTTTTCTTGATTGTTTAGTGGATTGAGTCTGCTAGACATCAGACTTCTAAAACCTCATCCAACTCTTTGGTTTCCTTTTGGTCTACGATTTGAGTATTTTCTAGGTGTTTGTAGATTTCGCACACGCATTAACAAGAAGGATAATGCCCTGATGCTGTGTCACTAATCTCTGTTTATAGATTCAGTCTATGCAGACCTCATAAATGACTAAATAACTCTCCTTTTGTTTATAAGAAATGAAACCTCAGAAGGCGTAAAAATCCAGAAGAAATTCAGTATATGTTCATTACCTGCAGTAGAATAATCTTCTGTGATGGTCACCGGATGATTCACTCGTAAGCATTTTGAAGGTGGATCATAATATACTTCTAAATGCACCGTTAATATAGGAGCATTGTGGTGTGTTGTATATCTTTTGAACACATCCGTTGTTGCTGGTTTACTTCATTGTCTCGTCCATGTATGTGTTCCGTATATCTCGGAAATTCGTTTTCATGACTATAACACCTAGAACTGAATTCTGTCGGCACAACTCTTTTCTTTCATTGATGCGATTTGTTTGTCTTCCCGGTGATGAGAAACGTTTTGTCTGCATAAATATATAGCCATATTCTGTGGTGTGGGGTTGGTAACAGGTATAACTGAAGCTTTAGTGTATGCTAGCATTGCTTTGGTATATTACCACTCACGATCACTGATTTCAAAACATACTTTGTTAGATGAAAATCTGTGGGTGCTGCCAAACCCCCAGATTTGGCGTTTCTGTGTTTTCCGAAAAACTAAGTGGCTATTTATTTTATACTATTTGTTTGATCTCTTCCCATTCTAGTTGACATCCCTAGTTTTGAACGAGCCTATCATCATCTATCCGTTCATATTTCTGTGGTATAATTCACTAAGCTATATTTATCAACAACAAAAAATAACATCAAAGTAAAATTCTAGAGAATCTCAAAACATCGGTTCATAAAGCGCTCATGTAAACAGAGTCAAGTCAAAATAAGTGGCTGAATACTAATTTGTTCAGTAATTCCGACTATTATTTTGACAAATAACTGATACGGTGTATTTTTTCAGGATTATATTCCTATTAATTTGAATTGTCAAATAATTGATGTAATTGAGACAATGGGAACGCAAACAATTTTTTTGTTTTTCTTCATAAAAACACATAAGTTAGCTTGATCCAAATGTCGGAAGGCTATATCCCGTCTATGTGAGAAATTGTAATAGTTTGACAGAGAAATCATGCTGTACAACTTGAATGCATGCAAAAATATGGTGAAAAAAGGACTGATTGTTTGCTTCTGATTGTCAGTTCAGTGAAATATTAAGTCACTATGCTTCTACCTGACGTGTACTAGTGCGACGAAGAGCATCTGTCCACCTGCTATTCTCTTCACTATCCTCTTCACATATTGTATATTGTTTTGTAGCAGCTTCAACATTCTATAACCATATATTTACTGGGGATTTCCAACCAGGAGAAGGAATCATTGTCTTTGCATTATCGATGTCAGGTAGAAAACCATTAGTATTCATGAACACTTAATAGTTGTTCTAGTCCAGGAGTCTTGAGCAGCACGCATGCATTCACCAAGCGCGGAACTGTATGATGTTATGGTAAATGCAATACCGTTGGGTTGCCGGGTCATTATATATATATATATATATATATATATATATATATATATTCATCCTTTTACATTCCTGGTGGGACAGGGCTTCAGGCGTTAAACTTTGCATTTTCAGTAGTGGCAGTGTTGTTTCTATGGAGTGGCCAACTGCCAGCTAGTAAACTAGGTCAGATCTGGGAGTATGTCGACCGGGAGTCGAAACTGCACAAAGCATATCAGATCAGAATAATGACGTATTATTCTTCACTTTTCTTTTCCTCATCTCTATATTAGTTACTGGTGTGGTTTACGTCTATTGAATCGACACAATTTCGAGTTACATGCAAGATGTCCATTTTGTTTAACTCCAATACACTCAAAACCAGTTAAATTATTATTTCAAAGTGATTTATCTGAAGATGAATTTTTAGAATTACTTAAAGAACAATTATATGTACGTACATTAAATATGGAGAAGTATGAAACAATATCACGCCGTGAAAAGATAAACAAATCCACCAAAATGATTGATTCACATCAAAAGTCACCTTCTCATATTTCAACGGAAGACAATTATGACGATGAGATTCACAATAATAATGATTTACCTAATCATTCCCATCTTCCTGCTACTTCTGCTGCTCCTCCTTCTCGTCTTCATCGATCTCATTCATCATCATCTGATGATGAATTGTTACCCTCTTCAGAAATCGTACCATCTGCACCGTATCAGTTACCTAGTGATATTTATTCTTCAAATGAACTCTATCAACAAGCAGTAGGATTAAATTGTACCACTATAACCTCTAATGATAATCTTTCATCAGATCGTGTTCATCGCTCAAATTGTACACCTGATTATTCAAATAGTTACAGTTTAACAACTATTTCTAATTGAATTCTTGTCAGCTGACTTTATTTGAAATCTTTCAGTCTTATTGTTTTTCTACTTTTACCTGTATATTCGGAGTCCTAAAAAGTAGTGGTAAGTACATTTTCCTTTTTTTTTTGTAAAAGATACTGTACATCTTACTATTGCATAAATGACTATTAATTACTTTTCTATAACATTTATGCACTATTAACTGTCAGTGACGCATATTTCTCCTCACGTCTTAGAACAAGACCCATGAATTCCATGTATTGATGGTATATTTCGATCTTGCCAAAACCAGTTTTCTCTAGAGTTAATCCTACTCTTTAAATAGTACTGTTTGTTGAAGAAGGCAATTTCATCCAACCACTTAGTTCTATGTCTGTAAACCAGATACTGATTCAGAACACTCATTCCCTATTTCATAGGTCAACAATCCATGTTATTTTCCTTGCGTTTTGTTTCGTATCAGATTACAAACTGTTTTTCCAGCTTCTATCGAAGTTGACAAGACAAGTCACTTGTGACTTATTCAGTTTGAAGCTGAATGGTATGCAAGTGAAGCGAAGATGTAGTCAATCTGAATTGTTTCCTCAAAGTGTCCACCCGCCCTAAGAAAGCTATCAGATGGATAATTGGAATAACTACACCAGTTACCTACTTGTTTATAGAACTTATCTCTACTTAAGACCCATCTTGGATCTAATTATCACAGTGGAAATATCTGAGAATTAGCAACTGAGTGGGTACAAATCTGAAGCATCTGGGAAATGTGAGTTTCCTGAAGGTTTCTAGTACTACTTGTGTGTTAGTGCGAAATTCAAGACCTTCTGTTAGTCGACTTCTATTACAATATGTAGATTTACCGAAGGAACTTGATCAGATAAGAATAGGAAAGGGGTAGATTTCATCGTTGAATTTTTTTTTACTTTTAGACATGTCAGTTTTACACTACAGTATTCTTATTGTTAGTGACATTAGTCTGCCTTTTCTTTTGCCTTTCTTTTTTACGAGGTAATCTGCATCGCTCCCTATTGAAGAAGATACCAAAGGAGAATCTGCGCTGTGCACCCTGCATATACTCATCATATCTATCCAGTTTATTTTATTTCTCTCCTCGTTGTAATATCCTACGTAATATCTATGCATTAATTTTTGACTTTCTTTTCGTAATATTTTAACATTGTTATATTTTTTCCAGCATCAGTGTATTAACTAGTGAAGCGAGTTTTGTCCTTAAGTGTTGCCTTCATTTGACTTCCCTTTGTTGTATCTTTTTTTCTCTCTCCATTACATGATTAATTATAATATTACTTCTCGTCCTCTGTTTTATTCATGTAGACACATAAATACATGCATGTATAAACACCTAATATTTTGTGATTAACCTGTACATTTAATTAGCAATAATCTCTTTTAAACAATCCTACTTATATTTCCCATATATGCTATAATTGTGTAGTGCACATCAGTCAAACATTTATTGTAGACTCCAATTATCTAACTAGTAGCACTATTACTAGTAGTATTGCCTGAAATTGGCTTTTATAAATAAACAGTAAAACAGCTTTTCCTCGTGGTAACGTGTGTGTAGGTACATCCTCATCGTATCAGTGACTATTTTTATGCATCCACACTTTCTTTTTACTGTTACTTGTTTATTTATTAGTACGATGTGAAATTCATTATTCCCATGTCTTATTTTTACCATGCTTTTCTGTTTCCAGTGTTACGTCATCTATTAGGTAGGATGAATTGTGATCCTGTTTTCATTTGTCGATCCCCTGTCGAATAAACAGGAATATATATATGTATATATATATATATATATATATATAAATCTTGACAACAAAAGGACATTCGTTTACGCCCTCATTACACGCTCAAGTTCCGAAACGCACTCTCTGACCAAATTCAACAGTATGGATATTTTTCTTCAGTCTTTCTGCAGCATTTTTGTTGTTGGCATAAGTCGGCCTAATGTCACGGCCCATTTCTTCAATAACTTGCAGCATACCTGTTCAAATCGTCCATTTGTGGCATCATTGGATAATTGACAGGAATGTTGGTATTTTGTGTCGTCCTCTTTCCTCTGCACGCCAGGGTGAGGATATACATCATCGCGTTTTAAATTTTATCTACTAATATATTGATGCCTAAATGCATATCTTTCTTTCTATGTATAATATGCATGATTTACCTGTACGAGAATTACGCGTTAAAATACACTAACTTAACTGACTTAAAGATCTGTTTGTTTTCATGTGACTGAGCCATAAACGATGGACAGTGTTTATGTCCTCATGCTTTGACAGTTTGTTCATCGACACATAAAATTATTGTTACAAAAAAGGTCACAACCTAACTGATAGCATGCATAAGCCTATTGTATCTTTGAAATGCACGGCATTAATACTGCTGTTCGGAATCGATAACGTCACCAAAGTTTGGTATAACCGGCGGTAATAGTAATGCTGCACAACTAGGATTCGATATGGAAGGGGAATAAGTAACTCGACTGATTTCCAGACTGAGCAGAGGCAGTAAAAATAATAGACTAGTTTATGCTGTTCTAAGCCTGTTTTAGCTGGTTTTAGGACTAGGCGGAATCCGAGGTGCACAATAGTCATATAAAATAATGCACTTACATAATAATAATTTGCTTTATTCCAAAACAGTACATGTGATACATAATGGAATTCTCAGCATTTTTACTACACTATTGCATCCAGTTAGTACATTATCAATAAATAGAATTCTACATAGATTAAGGAAATCTCAGTTCATTATTACAACAACACATTGCCATGTCGGTAGCAAAGGTAAAACTGAACAGTGTTTGAAGGTGTTAGAAAAGTAGGTGCTGTCATATTTACTGGCGTAAGCGAGAGAAAGAAACAAAGCAGCACAAAAAGGAAAAAAAGAGAGAGAATAGGAAAAGAAAGAAAGAAAATGTTTTACCTATAAAAGATATGAGTTGGAAAGACGATGTCCAGTTGTTCTACTGGCTATTTGATGAATTATAGGTGTCACGCCTAATGCTTTCTTTATCGCACAGAACACGAGCTAAGTAGGGTATAGTTGACTTTTTATACTTGCTGGTGCGAGCATATAGTTTTCTATATAGGCTTCTTGCTTTGCCTGATGAGATGCAAGGGGAGAGTTGTGAGTGAAGAGGGTGGTGTGAGTTAGATAAAATGGATTTGGCCCATTTTTCACATGAGTCCATGTGCCTGTCGACCAGAATATTAACAAGCTGGTTAAGTGGCACGCTGCTTACCCTGCTGACAACCTTTAACATCCTGCGTAATATGTTATAGTCTTTCTTCAGGGGGAATAATAAAGAATAATAGGCAGAATGCGAGAATAAACAGATTGTAGGAGTAAGGGTTGGGTTATACCATAATGTTTTAACTTCTTGATGTAGAAGGTAAGACTGAATATTTTCTTAGAAATCGCCAAGATATGAGACGTCCAGGAGAGATCAGCAGATAGAATGACGCTTAGGTATTTAATTTCCGATTTGGTTTCTATTTCAGTGCCGTCTATGTTGCATACCTCGTGAGAGCCAACCAGTTTGTTTAGGTAAGATTTATGCCTCAAGGTGAAATTGACTTTGGTATTTGGAGTGGTTTAGAGCAAGACCGTTTTCCTTGGACCACTGGCTGATTTCTGACAGAAAGCGATTAAGTTTAGAGCAGTCGCTTTGACATTTGACAGGTAAAGATACAGTCAGGTCGTCAGCATATTTGACAAAATTAATGTCATTTGAAGATGGCAAGTCATGTAGAAAGAAAGAAAAGAGAAGTGGGGAAAGTACAGCACCTTGGGGGATACCGGCTTCAGTGAGTACAGCAGAGGATGATTTACCTTTATATACGGTGTACTGCTTTCTGTTAGAGAAGTAGGAATGCAGCCAGTTAGTGACCCAGGACTCAGTTTTTGTCAAAGAGAGCTTATTTAGCAGGAGACATCTAGGTACAGAGTCGAAAGCAGAAGTGAAGTCGAGAAACGTGCAGCGGACGTATTTGGCACCTTTATCTAATGATGACCCGATGTTGTTGTGTAAGACAGCTGCAGCGTCTAAAGTGCTCCTACCCTGTCTATAGGCAAATCGTTTGGGGTCTTCAAAACTTTTAAGGGAGGGTTCAAGTTTAAGAAGTATTAGTTTTTCCATAGGCTTTAGAAACGTACAATGCTATAGGGTTCTCATTTAAGCGAAAACCTAAGAGATGAACAGTTTTTTGGACTACAATTGTCAGGAGACGAATGTAAAATTAACGGAATACGTTAAGAGTATGAGGATACTTTTTAAGGCCATTGAATAGCGAGGAAATACATCTGACTTTATGACCGTATTATGAAACGATTACATAGAATAAGTATTCAGATGTGAACATTCCAATACTGTTTTATATGACATTTACATTGATTTGCTAAGTTCCCTAGTTATTGTATCCCATGTAAATCATATATTAGAGAGAACGATATGTACAACTTTTCTGTAGCCTACTCATTTTACTTCAATCAATAGTTCGCCAATATAAATTCTATATAGTTAGCGAGGTCTTATTAAGTAGATAACACCAGTAATAATCATAAAGCCGGGGACGGCTCCTTAATTGTAAATGCAATATTCAGGAATTACATTTTCACTCAGTAAGTAACGTTATTTGAACCCTGACTCTGTTTCCTAGTGACTTGCGTTTCATTATAACTGTAAGATCAATTCAATTCCCATCCTTGAATCAAGTCAACCTGTCCCGGATCAGCCTAGCGTTGTTGCAACCCAATTATCCATGCCTGACGTGTCTACCTTCCCTTGTTCAATGAACTGTGTGTGTTTTTACATCGATCCGTTTAGTCAGACCGTTGAACTCATGACCCAATCAGGGTATTTTTGTGAACTGTTATTTTTGCTGACCTATGTCTTACTTTGTACTATTCTGTCGAGTTTATCTTATTTATTGATCTTCATCTGTATCAGCCTACCTGGTTAAGTAGCCAATTAAATTCTATCTTTGTGCCTATGCTCTGTCTATCTCTTAACCGCTCTCTGTTCTATGCCATGCCTTACTTGGGTTCATTCTTCTACTGACTGCTTACCTGAACGGTCGTGTCTGATTCCGGCTAGTTCGCAATTTTGGCTTTAATGTTATTCCTCTCTGATAGTGGTACCTTGCTTTCTGTTAAGCGTTGTGCTTTGTACTCTTGAAACCGTTAAAGTCTGTTGTATACATAATTATTGATTTGTTTATTAATAGTACCGTAGAAACAGTGACCGGCTTCTTGTTTGTTCTAGACCGGGATAGGCTTTATCTACACGTGACTTAATTTCAAGCGATATTGCGCTAACAATAACCTACATTTACCACTGACAATCAGTCCATTAATCAAGAAAGCACTCTCTGTATCTGGTAAATGTGATATGAATACTCCACTCAATGAAATATCACTACTTATTTGGATTCAAGCTATCACTTATGTTTCAGTGGTAAACCTTAAAAGGTGTAATAACTTAAACCTACCGAATAAAAATCTCCCACCAAAAATAATGGTTACTATCTGATGGCTCTGTCTTCTCCGTGTGATATGAATATACACTGAAATGTCTTTTATTGTTTCTAACGTTCAATCCACTGATGAGCATTTTATTCTGAGAAAAAAGTTTTTTTATACTGAAAGCCGACTACTAATATTTTAATAAATCATCTGGATAATCCCCGAAAGTAGTTGTTTGGTGTGTGCTACTGATTACATATGTCAGTAGTATATAAACATGTTCGTTAGCATAAAATTATCAAATGGCGGAGAGATAAATTTGATGTTATAGACAGCAAATTAACTAGTATTGCAGCAAAACATGGGAGACACGAAAAGAAGACAAAGGAACACGATACGAAGGACAGAAGTTGCACAACACAGCAGATCTGTGCAAATGACGATTTGGAGATAAGGTGTACATAATTTCTCCATGTAGGGATTCCAAATAAACATTCCTTTATTAAGTTTCTCGTATTCTATCGTTACAGTGAACCCGAATGTTCACCGGTAGATACCTTAACAGTGTGCAAACAATCCGTGATACCGTAAACATTCTGCTCTTGCTTCACTTTTATAGTTGATGAGCTATCTTGGCTGTACTATGTGTCCGTTTGCAAAGGGTGCTCGTGAACACTATTCAGCTTGGCTAGCACAGGAAATTATGTATTTAGTTCGGTAACAGAAGGCTCGCCTAGTTAACTAGCTTGCTAGTTTTCTAGCCGATCCCAAGCCCGGGTAAACCTATCAAAACGCTACAGAAACCTCAAGGCACAGAAAATATATTAAAAATACAAAAACTTCAAATAAAAATCCTATTCTTCGCTCGAATCGGAGAGGCAAAATGACACAGCCGGCTGTTGAAAGCCTTCAGGAACTCACTCAGCCGATGTGTCTTCTCTCGATGAAAGCAAGGATAAGAATGGGAAGATGGAATGTCCGTACGATGTACGAGGCTGGCTGGGAGGTCTGCCGAGGTAGCCAAGGAGGTGCGAAGATATGGCATAGAAGTACTGGGTATCTGCGAAAGTAGATGGAATGGATGTTGACTGACAAAATTGTCAACGGGAGAGTAAGTAATCTACTCTGGTCACCCAGACAACAACCACGAACACACTGAGAGAGTGAATGGCTGTCATGATGTCACCATTGGCAGCGTAAGCCCTAATGGAGTGGGAACCAATTCATCCTGCAGGATTATGACAGCAAGATTAAAGTCCAGAGGAAGGTGACAGTTATCCAATGCTAAGCATAGTGCTACAAACAACGCGGTACCAGAGGAGAAGAAGGAAATGTTTTACAGACAACTACAAACAGTAATGGACAACATCTCAAATGGTGACATCAAAATCCTCGTGGGCTATATGAATGCCAACCGAACTGGGAGCAGATAATACAGGAAGAGAACTCATCATGGGTCGAGAGGCTGTCAGAGAAGTGAATGAGAACGGATAATTATTCTCAAACTTCTGCGCTTCCAATGACTTGGTAATCGGAGACAGCGTGCACAAGCATATAGACAAGGCCAGCGATATGCTCAAGCAAGTGAAGATGCAGCCTGCTGGATACAAAGTCGAGAAGGGGAGCAGATGTGGGCGAGCTCAGACCATCATCTAGTTCAAGGAACCTTCTAGGTGAAGCTGAAATCCATGAAAACAACCAGAGACAGGCCACAACTCAAGTTCAACATTCAGAAACTGAAGGACGAAACTACAGTGGATGCCTTGATTATAGATCAGATCAGAACAAAGTCGGAGACACTTTGTGGCATCACCGAGAAGATATGCGTGGAAGAACATCGGAACTAACTCTCTTTTACGAAGAAAGAAGAGACAAGACAAGGGACAGGTCTCAACGGATACCTGGAAGCTAATCGAGGAGAGAAGAGGAAGATGGTGACAAAGAAGATGACTGAATGCAAAGATGGGCAACAGAGGGAGAAACTGAGTTCAGTGCACAGTGCACTGAATAAGGAAAGAAGAGTGCTAAAAAGACAAACGACAATTCTACGACACACCGGCCCTCAACTGAAGCTGAACAAACTGTACGCAGGTTAAAGAGATCTTAGGACATTATATCAAATAACCAGGTCAATCGCTACTCGGGAAGAGATCAACCCGCATGATGGAACCAATAAAAGATGCTCAAGGGGACCGAGGAGGAGAAACAAATCAAACAATGGGCTGATCACTTTAAAGATCTCTTGAATCGACCATCACCCCAGAAGTACCACTACAACCGACAACAGCACACACGGAACTGCCTGCCAGTGAACACCGCTCCTCCAACGAAATCAGAAATCCTGAATGAGGTCAAGCTACTGTAGGCCAGCTTGGAAGGGAGCAGGACCGGATGGAATTCCCCCCGAAGCACTGGAAACGGACCCAGAGACCGCTGCAGATGTTCTCATGAAATTATTGCCAAATAATTGGAAAGAAAGAAGGGTGCCTACTGACTGGAAGAAAGGCTACCAAAGAAGGGCGACTTAGGCCTTTGCAAGAACTGGCGTGGGTTAATGCTCTTGTCCACGCCAAGTAAAATGCTAAGTCGTGTCATCTTGGAGAGGATGAGAGATGCACTGGATACAGAACTCCGCCACCCACTGGAATAAGCTGGATTCAGGAAAAGCAAATCATGTGCTGATCAAATTGCAGCTCTATGCATCATCATCTAACAAAACATAGAATGTGAACCAAATCTCTATCTACATCAACTTCATCGACTTCGAAAAGGCCTTCACCAGACAGCGTTGACCGAGAAGTAATTTGGGAACTAATTCAACACTACGGAGTGTAGTGACCCAAAACTTTAACAACCTCATTCAACAACTGACTGCATGACAATGCTACGTGTTAGACAGGTGATCCACATCGGAAAACTCAGTGGGGCATTCGAAGTGAATACAGGAATAAGAGAAGACTGCTCACAACTATCACCAATGATATTCCTCACAGTGGTGGACTGGATTAGGCGTCGAACGGTGCGAAGGGAGCAAGGAGAGAGGAATACACCGAACCACTGGTAAGAAGACTCTAGAAGATCTGGATTTCTCGGCGGATGATATATGTCTGATGTCACACAAACTCGAAGACTTGCATACAGGCGAAAAGCAACAAACTGGCAGAAGAGGCTAGCAGGCAACGAAGACAGGACTGCAGGTGAACATAGAGGAGACGGAGGTGATGAAGATAACCAATCACCACTAAGAGCAATAGCAACCAGCACTAATCACTACCAAAAGGAGAGATTTGGAGGAGGTTACTCCCTTCACTTATCTGGAAAGCATTGTTCAACCACAGGCACACGTTACGGATGAAGATGTCAAAGTCAGCCAGAATCATAAAGACAAGATATACCTTCATCAATCTGACATCAGTTCGGAAATTTTCTGCACTCTGCAGCATGAGGAAGATTCGGATTTTCAACATCAATGTCAAGTCAGTTCTTCTACATGAGTGAGAGACTTGGCACGTCGCGAGAAGTATCTCCAAAAGATTACAGACTTTTATCAACAGCTGTCTTGGCTCTATATTGAAGATGAAATGGAGAGAAAGTATTAACAACAAGAAACTCTGGCTGGGAAAAAGCTAACCAAGAGCCGACTGCGCGGATTCATTGAGGAAACCGTTGGGGGACATCGCGCGTCAGGCCATCGTTCCCGTGGAATTGGAGGTGGATACAACGAGTGGGTCGTTGGTGCGAGGGTGACGTGAGGAGATCGTGTGGCGGTGAGGAGACGAAAGATTATGGACAATCGTGGGTCAGCTAATGAGGATAGTAGAAAATAGAACAAAGTGGAAATGTGTTTTTGAGGCCCTCTGTTCCACTCGGAGCCCAAGTGAATAATAATAATAATTAGGAACTGTGGACACGCAGATCTATATGAGAGGACCTTCAAAGTCTTATACAAGATTTGGGTAGACATCTCAAAGGGAGTGAGGGCATAGCTTAGGTATTAGTGATCTGAAAATTTAGGTCATTACTGTATATCCGAAAAAAGTAAGTTTGACCTTTCTGTTTGGTATCGATATTATGGGTAGCCTATTTTCTCAAGAAAATCACTTTAGCTATGTTTATTATCCAAACTTCCTGTGTGTTTTCCTCTTTCAATGCCTATTTTTTCATTTAAATTCATTTTGTTATTTTCTACATTTTGACCTCTGACCCTCAGTTATTCTGGGAAATTCTTATTCCTTTGTTATTTTTTCACGAATTTATAACCTCGTTGACGACTCCGTCTAAAATAAAAAACAATATTTTTTCTGAAACTGTATTTCGTTTTCCATATGTACAGTTCTCATATTACAGAAGAACAGGTAAATACTGTAAGTGAACTGTTGCTTAGAAGCAAATGTCCACTTCAGGTCTCATGAATGCTATTCTGTGTGACCAAAGACATTTAGCTATTAATCCACAAGAAGGGTGGTAACTGAACACCTTACTAAACGCGAGATATTTCACCTCAATTAAATTCATTTAGTAACCTACCGAATTCCGTACATTTCCACTAACTTTGTATTACTGAAGTTGTAATCTGTGAAATAGGGGATCTGAAAGTTTGTATGTAGTAAAGACTTGCTTAAACTCCCTACCTTCTTTGGTCGTTAGGTTTTTCAGACACCCTTCTTTCAACATGTTCACATTTGTGACTATCTTGCTTGTTTTCATGCTCATTTTGTGATAGGAATGCCCTTATTAAATATTTTGTGTTACGCAACTTCCTGTTCAAAATCGGTCGGTTCTACTAAATTTCATGTTGATTAGTACTCACTAGTCACAGTAACTCGGCATTTTAGGCCATAACAGCTTATTCTGCGTGTCAGTCTGTCTTTTGAATAAAAGAATTATGGTGACTGTTAAACTGAGAACACTGAGTTAGTGAATGAAAACAGTTTTGACATGTATGCTACTGTATATTTATAGCAAGTGAAGTTGTCTTAACTGAACCTCTTAACATTTCTGATTTTGTTGGATATGCCAACCCATCAAATCAGTGTGCAATAATGTTACATCATCATTGCTTACATTTTGATTCTTGCAGTCATGCTGATGGACTTTTTTCTTGACAAGGTAAATTCCAAAATAAACAAGAAATCAACTAACTTTTATTTTATTTTATTCTTTTGCATCAGTATAAAAACAGCTCAAAAATCTATTTGGTAGGATACAGTTTTCTTCAAATGGGTAACCAATTTAGTTATTGTTACAGAATACGCATTTTTTACGTTCATATTCATTCACATTACAAAGTTAAGAAAATGGTTCGAAGTGGATAAAGAAAAGCTGTGTTTTAAAAAAAAGCAGTATTAATCTAAGATTAAAACTAATGGCGCTTGAATATGAAAAACAAAACAAAAATAAATTAAGTTTCTTTGAGATTATCAAATAACTTGGAAATTAGTCGACTAAAATTAACTCTCTTTTTGATCCTCTTATGCACAGTATCACTTGTAAAATACTTTTAATTTTACATGTATATTTAAATCAAATGATTACTAATTTCAGTCTTGGAAGCACCCAACCTGCACCATACTGAGTGAGATTCATACATATCAAGAAATTTGAATCTCCTACCACAATATACACAAGAGAATCGCCTTTCATTTAAGGATTTCATACAACTACTTGAATTGGATTTACAGTTCTGTTGATGCTGCTGTTTAGTGTGTATTTTCATGTGTCTTTTCAACTTTGACGATTGAGCACATGCATAGGGGCATAGGTTACAGTGATATGGTCTCTCGCCGGTATGAGTACGTCGGTGTACAGTGAGATTACTAATGTTACGAAATATCTTTCCACAAAATTCACACATATCACGTCTTCTACTGATTACCAGTTTAGGTGGTGGGCTTAGTATATTATTTTCACTATTAGTAGCATTATTGGAATCTAAAAGGCACTGACGGAGAATAGGATGCTCGACGATTTTAGCATCATCTATCAGTTTGTTTTCTACTGTAAACTCTGCACTTTTATTCAGGCAAGGTAGTAGATTTCTGCCGGATATAATTTCAACAAATGACTTCGCCTGTCGTATCATTGTATTTCCATAGTTATGCAATAAGTAGGAATTGATGTTATCGTAGACAGTGGATTCTTGATTATGCTTACCACCGGTTACATTTTCAAAATCTTCTGAATTTCCCATATTTGTGTAGTGTACTGGTTGACTGGATGTAATCACTTGTTCCCTGACATCTCTTTCTTTATAAGCAGATATAAGTTTATACATGTAATTGAATAAATGCATATTATAGCTTGTAAAATTTATTGGATATGTATACAGGTTAGGTAAGGAATGATTTGAAGATGAATCATATTGACTAAGCCTTGATTTATTCATTGTGTCGTCATTTAGCTGTATAAAAGATTGCCCAACTTGCTTATTTACTTCTACATCTTGAAAATTTTGGCTAGGTGAAGTTTTAAATTGATTTGGATTTATATTATGCATTTGTTCTAGATGTTTTAGCAGTTGATGTGGAGAATTTTCAACAGTTTTGCATAATAAGCATGGGAGTGTAAGCGAACTGCATTGACTCCAGTCATCTGAAGATGAAGAGAAGGAAGAAACGAACAATTAATGTTATTAAGTATTATTTTTACAAAAATTAAAAATGATGACTCCGTATTAATTTATTTACTGGATATACTAGTTTTTCTTCATTCCTTGAGTATCGATTGAAGCACAGGGCTTCAGGATTTGAAATTTCAGTAGCGAAGGTGCTGTTATCACGACGTAGAGTTGTTAGCTTCACCCCCAACCTTCCCTCATTTCCGGGATTACTACAGACCAATAAACCAGCCAAGGTTTAGGAGTACGAGCAAACCGTTGACGCACTGGATATATCACAAAGTGAAACATTGCAACTTCCTGGATAACATTTCAAACAAGATTTATTGGTTATGAACAACAAACTACGTAAGAAAGGTCACCCAGTTAATCATACAGTTTCACTTAGTGATCCTCTTGACAAGTAAACTATTTTGGTACTACACACTATCAGAGTGTCTAATTTTTCTACATATAAATAGGTGACTGCCCATATGGAGGTCGTCGCTATAACCGCCTTCAAGAAACTCTCTAAAAAGTATACTTTAAAAATCATACTACTATTAAGTAGTCTATGTTTTAAAAACTAAAAGGTTTACATTAGTCCCAGTGTCCTGGTAAATTAGTACATCTGTTCACTTACATGATGAACTGGAAATGAAACTATATGCGACTTAGTTCAGAGAAATTATTACCTTTCTACTCTCAATGATCAACATAATCTGTGTTTTTTAGTTTGAGTAGTGAAATAGTAGTTAAAATTAGGATGAACAACCGGAAATCTCGCCTATATCGGAAGTTTCTACTGAATATTATTATCAAACGAGTATGGTAGTGACATAACAGACCGATTTCAGCAAAATCCATCGTTATCAGAAGCTTCCGGAAAATACTCTGACTTAACTGGCACAGTGATTATTATGAAGGATGACCGTTACACGAGTGACAAATTTCAATGTATCGACCCACCGACGAATCCTTCTTTCAAACGGGTGAAAAAACATCAGCTAAGGGAAGTTGAGATCTTCTTGCACTGTGGATAAATAAGTTCACTACACAGTATAAATCAGTAGTCATTAAGTTTTTACTGACGTGTTTTCAACATTTCTACTCAGTATTTAGTGGTTCATGTCAATGCTTAATTAAACCATAAAACCTACGTCAACTTTCCCTTCGTCACTGAGGTGGAAAAGCGTATTTCTACGCTTACATCGAGCGGAAACGTACCTTCGAAAATTCTAAGCAAGTCTAGGCAACTGATACATCTATTCGTTATGCTTTCGATTTACTAGTGATCATAAGTAAATTCTCTCTTCTAGTTGACATTTTTGAGAAAATCTGAATCGAATGTAAGGAACCTTCTGGTTGAGATTTGATCACAGTGATACTTAAACATTTGAATCTACCTAATATTATCTTCTACTCCTCTGTATTAGTCTTCTGAAACTTTGGGTACTAACAACTAACGTCCTGTCTATTCTCATTTGGATGTACAATTATAATTCTTAACGAATTGACTGTCATATAACTCACTGTTTCAACAATCTTACATCACTAACGGAAATACAGACTAAAGTGTGAAGTCATTTAAGTTTCAGTACTGATCTCTGAATAATCAACCTAGAGTTCTGCTGCATGAAGTGTGGAACCAATTCCCCAGCACGGTTTGAAATATAATTTCAATCACAGAGAGTTTAATGTTATGTAAATAATTGGTTAGTAACTTTACAGTCTGCAAAGTAAGAAGATGCATAGACTATTTTTAAAATGTCACATATGGAATTCGCTTTCTTGATTTTCATGTTCAAACTGCCATTTCTCTCCTCATATATAAAGTGAAGCAATAATATTTGAAACGGAACTCTGTGAACGATATAAGTCATATTTACAACTGTTTCACTATGTGTATGCACTTGAAGTTGGTGGTACAACGGTAGAATGCTCGCTGACCACACATGTGGTCCAGGGTTCAATCTCCAGCCGACACCCTCCTTTACCCCACTAAGCCAGTAATAAGGCTGATAAAGAGAGAAGGTTGGGCATGAGGCTAGCGACTTCAAACCGTAAAAGTAAACACCACTCCTACTGAAACTTCGAGCCTCTAGCTCGAGGCCCAATGTTCCACTGGGAACGTAAAGGAATAAAAAAACCAAAAAAACAACAACAGTGAAGTCACTTTTCCTAATCAAACAAGTCTATATTGAATAGGTTCATCCATTTCTGAGTAGATCCCTTCACAAAATGATATCAAGTAAACAAACAATGAAAATCAAACATCTTAGTTTTGAGCAATTCAACAATGATGCATAATTACAATCTGACGTGAAAAATGCATCTGAGTACTGCCAGTGGTCACAGAGACAACATGATTACGCTTAACTACTAAGATGAAATCTATCAGCTTATGCGGCCTTATTTATTCCGCTGAATAGATAAATTCTCTAAAGGTTTGATCAGCAGTTGAAAATGATGGCTGCCACTAAGATGACGAGTGTCAGGATACTCACTAATCGATGATAGTAGATGACGGTGGCAGAACTTAGAAAAAAATCGTCAGTTACTGAATCGAGGTTCTCACTATCACTGTACTGAATGTGAGATTTACAATGCAGTCCCAAATGAGACATTTACACAAAGACAATATTGAAAATTAAATATTTATTGTACCAAGAGAAGTGACAATTATATTCATTCTCTAAAATAAATTTAACTTGTTAACACATGAATACAAAATTTATCACTAAAATTTGATCTCTACACTACCTGCTGAGTTCAGATGATATTTTTAATACTCATGAAATGACAACAAATAATAATAATAAAACAAATGCTACAATTTGATTTTATCGTATATTTCCGCAATAATACATACATACGTACACATATTTGTCCATACTGTCTACTAAATAGATAAAAATGTCATTCGACTACTCTGTTCGCCTAACAGTTTAACTGCGTATCCACATATTATTATTATTAACAGTAATAGTAATAAAAGCAATAGTGTCTTCCCAGCCCCCAACACACACACACACACTACTTTGACCATTTTCCCTAGCCTTCTATCCATTTGTCCTGTACTCAGACAGGAACACATTTACACACACTTTAAACATAATTTACATTGGTAAATGGTCGAAGAAAAACAGTTTGAATGTCAGCTTGACAAGATTACTCTACACAGAAATCTAACCGTCTTGGTGAATTGTTATAAATGTACCACACACACACACAACAACAACAACAACAAGAATTACTGTTGGGGCAAGGTAAGCCTACTTAACACCCACAGAGCTGTACATATATAGCTTGATTTTTATCACACACTCACCTCCATCTATAATATGAGAAGGAGAGAGAGAGAGAGAGGGACGGAGGGTTTGACCACCTAATTTGGACAGGTCATGCATGCATATACGCACATATACGCACATATACACCTCAGAAGCCGGGATACCGTCTCAACAAAAGATGTACGTATATATGCAAAGTAAGAATATCAGTATACCACAACACTCCCAACCTTAAACATTTGACCAAAAACCTTCAAAACACTATCCTGATGATATTTTTTTCACATTTACAAAAACGAAAAATTTTGTGGCGTCAGACTCATTCTGATTTAGCTGAAATAAATAGATACTGTTTAAAAATAAACTTTCACTGAAAATTACCACATACTGACAGGGAGGATATATACAAAACAGTTAAGCATAAACTAACAATCATTATTAGTATTCAAAATAAGCAAAATAATACTGATAATGTTAATAACAATAATAACGATGGCTGTTAATCCAAATAAAACCGAACAGTTTTCAGTATATTCTCTTTTTTTTCATGAAGCTGTAGTGGGGATTTCGACTTTTGTGATATGACAGTGATGATGCCGCATAGCGGAAAAGTAACACACAACACTGCCAACTAATCACACTGACTACTAAACTTCATTTTAGAGTAAACTATGCGGTTACCACTACTTTGGTACAAAGAAAAAGAAAAATATATATATATATATATTATTTCAATGGAGCAAACTTAAAATATTCTCAACCACTTAGTGGTAGAGAATCTGTCGATGGAAATGCTTGAATAGCTGAGATGCATTCGCGTTGTTTTGTGTTCATACTTTTGAAAGTTTGAATCATGCTTTCCCTAATATCCCTGGTTTATTTTAGCATTACTGCAGTTATTTTGGTCACCTCTGTACACAATTCTCAAGTGTGTACTATTGGACCTGCTGGACTTATATAGAACGTTTGATACTGGCCTGATTCCCTACCTACCTCTCCATTTGTCATATCTAAATGTTAATTGAAATTCATCTAATGAATATTTGCATAATTTCAATCTCTTTGAACGCAAACGTTTCAATATAATAACGGTGATTTTCATGTTGATTGGGAAGTGAAGTTGCCCAGTGTTTCCCGAATTCGTTTAATACTGTAAAGTCTTTTCAACTCAACAATTAAGGAAAGCAATCTGAAATTAAATTTTAATCTATTGGAATTCAAAAAGAAGTCATAATGAGTGTTAAACAGTTGAGTTTGTTCCCTTATAGAGTAATTTTATTCGATATATTATTACTTACTGATGACTTTTGGAGCAGATCATATCAATTTGCCCAAAACGTCATCAGTTAATCATTACAGTCTTACTATGTGGAATTATACTCTACCACAGTACGCAAATTCTTTCTTATATCGGCTGACTTTGTTTATTAATAGCTACTAAATCAAAATTCAAAATTGGACAATAGAAATCATCATTCAAAAGTTAGTATTTGGCAAGTTAGGGATAGGATTAAGAAGGTGGATTATTAGCAGAAAATCCCCCCCCCATAAAATTCTTCCCTTTGAAGTCTGGGGGATTTTTAAATTCCTATCGAGTGACAGTAAAACTAAAGATAATCAGCATTTAGGTTAATGGTCTAGATTATTTTATGTATCTTCTCAATATGCAACTCTGTGAGACTATAGAAAAACACGCAGAATTTCTCAATTAAACAAGTTAATTTACTATATAATCAGGATTTCTTTTGTCCGAATTCCCTTTTTGCAGTTTAAAGATCATATACGCATACACTCTAGCTTAATGACGACAAGAAAATCGTTTTCTGAGTACATATCATGCGAATAGGTCAAAAGTCATTCTAGTTCTAGACATCTTAGATGTCCACTGTTTTACGCTGAATACTGATAAGAATAATAATGCGCAGATAGTTGTGGTCATTACGACTAAAGCCTATACACATAAATAAATATATCCTAAATTTTCGCCGTTTTTGCAAATCACAATAGCTTTTAACTCAAGGGTGATTTTACACTAACTGATTCACTTTCAACAACATTCATTCAAATGTAATATTCATTACGCCCATAAGTAAATCTAGATACTAGCGTAATAGTCATAGCCATTTAAAATTACGTGTCATAGACTGGCTATGGAAAGTCCACTACCGTCTAGAAAAATACGCGACGGAATCAATACGTCATCCAGGTACAAACATGACCCATATTTTAACAGTTTACAGCCTAAAAGTTTCATGAACAATGAACACTGTGTAGATGTTATGCTGCAAAGTTATCTGCTATTTTGTGCCTGTTTTGAAATCATATACCTTTGCCATCGTATACAGGTGCATTTTTTCAATGTGCGTCGGTGGCACAGCGGTAGAATGCTCGCCGACCACGCAGGTGGTCCGGGGTTCTGTTCCCGACTGACGTACTCCTTTACCTCACTAAGCCAGTAATAAGGCTGATAAAGAGAGAAGGTTGGGCATGAGGCTAGCGACTTCAAACCGTAAAAGTAAACACCACTCCTACTGAAACTTCGAGCCTCTAGCTCGAGGCCCTATGTTCCACTGGGAACGTAAAGAAATAAAAAAAGGTAAGTAAGGATGCAGCCATAAACGCTGACATAATGATGTTAGTAACTTAGCAATGCTACATTAAATACTGTCACGATCTGACATCGCCTAGAGCGCTAACGGAAACTAGGGAGCATTAAACAGTTGCTGCGACCAGCTTAAGATTCTCTTCAACACGGCATATCCACGAGCCATCTGCAGACGAAGACCAGAATCTTCGGCTTACAGGAGAGCACGCTAACCACTCTACCATATGATTAAAACTGTGATGAATCACCAGTAGGAAAAATTAAGGATATTTAAAAATTAGTGATAACTTACTGAAAGATGTTTCATCAGTGCACACTTCATTTGTGCTTCGACTTTGTGGATATACTTCACCAAAAGAAGACATTGAATTATCCAATTTTGGATGACTTTCTTGATGATTCATCGTTAAATCAATCGGTTGACTAAAACGATGGAAAACATCATTGTTCACATTTCCAAGTGAAACTGATTCATCTGAAGTTGTGTTTTCGTCGGCGATTTGTGGAACCTCTACAAAATTTAAATACACACCTGCATATGTTGTATACAAAAATGATTTCAAAATAACACTAAAGAATCACTTGAACATTTGAAACTACTCCATTTACGTGGTGAATTCTAAATCAGTATAAAAAATGTACATACATAGGGACAGTAGAGTAAAGCGAGTCGATAAATTTTTAGTAGAATTCATCAACTGAATAGCTAACATCTATGCTGAGTTACTGCGAATTTAAAAAAAAATAATTTACGAGCAATAACTTATTCTGGTCAATCACAGATAGAAAAATGCAATGAAAATGGCAGAAAATGATAAAATTCCCAATACTGTGAATAAAATATTTTATTGGAGTAAAAACTCTGAACTTGAACAGATTTGTACCTCAGGCTCAAATAGCGACCAGAACAACCTAGTGATTGAATATTTAATTTGAGTCTGAGAAAGCTTACGACAGATTCCAACTGTTGACTGTTTCATTGACCTCATTGTACTGAATGTGTACTGTCTCTTTTGATATGTGAACCTCAGGTAGTATGAAAACTTCAAGGAGAACTTTAAGTTAACGCGCCACTGTTTGGTTGATGGAATTCAGGATGTGCGTCTTTGTCTGTGTAAAACTTAGGCACTACTGTAGTACGTAATCCCATATCAATTTGTTTATCTGGTATATCACATAGTGAACCAATATTATTTAATTGGTGACTTTTCGAGCACAATTTGTCATTCATATATCGTAGCATATCTTATCAATTGTGATGCTGAAATGAAGGACAGGTTTTTTTTTAAAGGATTTGGACAGGCTAATACAGCTAGCTGACTAGATCAATGTGATTTCTAAGGAAATCATTGGCTTCCTTTCCATTCAATGCTACTTGAGCCAATATATATACATATATATGATTGTGTGCGTATTTGTGTTGGTCGCTATTGTCTGCTACACCTGTGTTCAATTTATCTTTGTTTAAATAACACATTCACTGCACCAATGACTCATCAAAATTCAAATGAGACGAGTATTATGGAACCTGTTGTCAGGCCACCCATATACACTGGAATAATTCTGTCCAAATTCTAGTTCACTCATAATCCAACCTACGCCTTTTAATTGTGACTTAGCAACATGTCAGTCAGCACTAATCAGTGCTCTTCGAAATGGAGATAATAAAAAAAGGTAGAGCTATGCATACAGTCACAATAATATAATTAATAGAGAATATAAGGATTTGCAAAAATGAACTCGTCTAGATTAGTTATGATTAAGTATAAACAATAAAGCTAAATGACATCACATTTGCAGATGAACTTAGTTCACTCCTAGAGATAAATTTAATGAAGATGCTTCAACTAGTTGAATATTAAACCCCATGAACGACAGTGTGAAGCGAACTTAGTTTTACTTTTCTGATCAAGATTAGATAGAACTTGTATTTATCAGTATTAAACAGCATAGGAGTTAGATTAAACACAACTTTCTGCACACAACTTTCACTTCACACGATGAGGAGTGCTTCCCTGCACCACCTGTTAGGTTGATTTTAAGTCAGGTCTTGTGTGCTTTCGTGCCTTCCGTTGCCAAAATGGAGGCAAAAACTGAATAGGTTTAACGATGACTCAGATAGACACTGGTTTCATGCATTGGCATCACTATAACCATGGTTACTTTAATGATAATTTGTACTGAACAGTAAGGTAAGCTTAATGCGCCTCTGATTTCATGGTAAACCCGCTTATGGTGTGGTTGTGTTCTCTGAGCTGGATGGTTTGGTTGCGAAGCTTTCATTGCTCACACCAAAATCATCCACCTGAGCTACAAATCTTCTCTATTATATCTAAACCCGCTTATCTTGCACACCTAATCTATGAACAATAGTTCTCACTCATCACTTGTAGCAACAAATTTCACCTTCAGTATGCATTTCAATGTGTTACTAGTTTTAAAAAGTCATTTGTTGGAGTCCCTCTGAATAAGCAGAATGAAATTAGGAAGTCAGTGTCTTCAAATAGTTTAAATACTTACTGGAAATGTAATTCTTTGAATTTAGGACGGAGTGCCAGTTAGAATCATTCACTGGTAACGCAATAGATGTTGAATACAATGAAGGTAGTTGACTTGAAGAGGCTGTTGTGTTTGCCATGCATAAATTTGATATCCAAGGTTCACTGTGATTATGATAAAGCGTTTCTGATCTGTAAATTGGATTCACTTCCTTGAAATGGTGCAATAAATTATCCATTGGTGAAACTGGATTCTTGATTGATGTATTAAATCTATTTTTGTTACCACCCAGAAACGATTTATTACTCATTAGCTGATTTCACCCACTAACCTGAATGCACAACTGGGAAGGAAAAAAGCGAAAGCTTGAAAATAACAACAAGACACCTTAGGAAACAGCAGCAGAAATCAGAATAACAACAGGAATGAAAAGAAAAGCAATTTCAGTTTAACTATTTATAGCTTACAGTTTATTTGTCTTTTGTGAAAAGGGAAAGGAATTCTGCATCAGAAAATCTATATTCAAATATGCCTTACTGTCTTTGACCTATTCAGTCGAGTTGTCAGTCAGCACTTCTTTCATCTACACTAAGTAAATGGAATTCTTTCGAAAAAACAAAGTCAGAAAGTTGCACTTCGAATTTCACATCGTGCATTTACTGCATATTTATACGGATCGGGTTTGAAGACTAAGTCTTTCGATAACACCTGCCTGGTGACATACCTCAACATCACTCCTACTGCTCAACTTCGTCAGTTATAACAAGCGATCCCTGGACACGATAATTTAAAAGCTTGATTCACCTCAACAAAGTCATTGAACTGGTTCATTTTTTGAAGGTATCTCAGATTGCAAAAAGCAAATAAACATCACTGACGTTAGATTCTTCTACTCATTCATCGACAAAGGGAAAAAATATTTCCGTGATCCCGCTTTCTTCTTTGAAGCAATGAGAACACTTCACTTACCTGTGAATATGGTTCATCCTTTCATTCAGTTGCTAAGATCAAAAATAAGGAGACGCGAGCACTTCAGCATTTATCTGTTCATTGTATCCACCTGAGATATTTTTTACGCAAACCAATCACTTAGGGTTCTTGAGTGCTTACCACTAAGAGCTTTTCCAAATTAATATTTGTTAGTAGGTCAGAAGAAACTGTGAGTCACTGAACCATGAATAGTTAATCACACTCAGTCATGTAGAACATAAGAAAACTGATGCATAGAAGAAACAAAACATTTAGATAGTTGAGTAAAATACACAAGTACAACGTGTGTCATACACTGTCACAGACACTTCCTCCTGCCCCATTACTTTTCGTGAAAAAAATCTTGTTATGTTCCATATGAACGACAAAGCAATTTAAAAGCAGTTCAAACAAAACAGCACAGCAGCGAAAGTACAAGAATTTGCAAGTTAATTACGCGATAATGACCAAAGTAGCCTAACTAAGAAAGGAAACTCACTAATCAAGTCTGAAAGATAATCACTCAAGTCAGTATACATCACTCAGCACAAAATAAGATTCGATCGGCTTTCACAAACTGACCATCAGGGTTGAACACTCTTCATCGCAATCGAGAAATAGAGGGACAAGGCAGTGGTGCCCAGACAGGCGTATAGGTAGCCAGCCACCTAATATTACAAACCTATCGACCAGGTTGAGTCTCGTCAGCAAGGATTCATTATTGAAATAATGCAGCAGATTCTCAGCTCACGTTAGTGTTTTGGATGTGGTTGCATTGTCTGAGGAGGTTTTACTGTCCTTTTAGACATCAGTCTTCAGTGGTTATTTCAATGTGAAGTGAGCTTTTCTATTCAAAGAAGTCTTCAGAAAGCTAAAATATCTAGCGGAATTCTGTAACCATTCTATCAAGTCGCCAACCAAATTTCTAGAAAGATAATAAACATTCATTTAGATGATAGTGAAATCATGGTATCCATTGTTGTCACAGCATTATACGATTCAACTGTTATTCAGAAGCTAGAATCCATGGTTCCGCCAGTGGTCAAAACCAAAAATCTCGGTAAGTTAGAGGGATGACATATTCGTCACATCTAGAAATGACTGGAAAGCACTGACAAGTTAATCAACAATGGGTTTGAGGACATCGATTTCACAAGAGATAAAGAATCAGACAACAAAATTCCTTTCCTAGGTGTCTCAGTCTAGAAACACTATTACGTGGAAAGTCAACTCGCATTAAGCAAATTCTCAACTACAATAGCAATAATCCAGCAGCATACAAATGAAACTATTTGCAAACATTGTTCAAAAGAGCCAAAACACACTGCACCATCCCAGTCCAGAGGATAACAGAACGGAAGTATCTACTAACCGTATTCGAGAAAAATGAATACCTTCACAATCCATCAGAAGCTGTTTACAGTAGGGTCAAACTATCATCAATGTACCACATCCTACCATTTACAAGGAATACTTCAGAAATAGCGGCTATAAGACGATAACAGTAAGGAATAGATGTTGCACATAAACCAATACAATCTCTTTATTCAGTACAATGCAGACCAAAACGCCAAACATAAAAAGGTAAGATCAATTCAATCTACAAAATAATCTGCACCATATTGGTGAAAGTGAACATCCCCTTTGGTTTGGGACCAAAGAATATAAACCAACTGCAAAAAGACATGACATGTATTCCTTCATCATCTGAGCATGTAGACAACCATGAACACTAGCTCGACTGAGAAAGTGTGAGAATGTTGGAGAATTCCTATAAGCCTGGTACTAAAACCAGTCTTCACCCAACAGACATATTAACACAGAACATATTTATAAGCCAATAAAGGACAAACCATATGGCAAAAGAAGTCAGTCAAATGACCGATACCAGAGCAAATTAACAGTCAATCACGCTCAAGGTCTCTAGAAGGAACAGTTACATTACTGGTGGAGAATTCCGGAAGAGTTCATTTCACATTGAAATAACCACTGAAGACTGCTGTCTATAAGGAAAGTAAAACCATCTCAGACAATACAACTGCATCCAAAACACTAACGTGAGCTGAAAATCTGCTGCTTTATTTCAACAATGAATCCTTGCTGACGAGACTCAACCTGGTCGATAAGTTTGCAATATTAGGTGGCTGGCTACCTATACGCCTGTCTGGGCACCACTGCCTTGTCCCTCTATTTCTCGATTGCAATGAAGAGTGTTCAACCCTGATGGTCAGTTTGTGAAAGCCGACGAAATGTAATTTTGTGCTGAATGGATACTTGACTGAGAAGCGATGTTCTCACTACTCAGTATAGACGCCAGATACAATAACTCCATTATGTTTAAGTTGCAAGTGTTTCTGTGTAGATGTGAGTGATGTATACTTAGCTGAGTGATGATCTTTCACACTTGACTGGTAGGCTTCGTTTAGTGTGACAAAATGACTGATAGTTAATTTTTCTTCAGTATCATCGAGTTTCTGTTGTGTTCTAATGCTAATTTGTGGCATTAAATAATGCAGGGCCGAACCGTTTCTTTGTTTTCGTTTCATTCAAAACTTTAAGCATCTAAGATGATGGAAACTTTATGCTGTTAGTACAGATAACCTCAGATGAATGTTTAGCTTGAACACATCCGAATCACTTACACTGCAGCTTCTGATTAGATTTAATACCTTATCCCTCTTACTGTAAGTGCCGTTTATGTTAACATTGCTCTCTTCGTTCACTTAAACCTCAGCCTTTTTTTACAATATACCAAAACTACAAAACATGTTGGAACACTAGATCGAATTGGTACTTATCTAGACAACACATAAAATTCTTTATCATGAATCATATTTAATTATTCTCGCATTATTGTCAGATTACTGGTATTTTTTTTTAAATTTTTACTAGAAAAACATGTTTGTATATTTTGCAGTTTGACATTTACAGGGAAAGTCATAATTCAGAGTAAATACACTATTGAAACTTTTAGTACTTCCTAAATTATCTCAGTCTGTGCTGACCATCTGTCTAGTTAACTTGATTGTCTAAGTTGATCACTATTCAAAATGTCTGTTGAGTGTATGATTTAAAGTTATACGAGTAAAGACAGATGGTTTGAATATTAATATTAATAATAATAAAAATAATAATAGTTACTATTATTATAATAATCATCACAGTAATAACAGATAATCGACAATCTCAGCAGCATAGTTAGTATGTGCAGGAATATCAAAAATGCAAGCTTTTTCGAATATTTGAAGGTAGAAAAATAAGGAGACCATGAAGGTAGTGAAAATGAACAATGACATTTCATACGTCTATCCAGTCTGTGGTTACACAGCTGATAAAGCTGTCTGGATATTAAATCCATTATTAAGAACTACCAAAATGAAAGATGACCACCACCTTTTGTTTGGTCTGTCGACTGAAGAGAGATTAATTAGCTTGTCAGCTTGTCAGAACAGTTTAGCAAAATGAAGAAAGTAACGGCAGAATATTCTAATATAAACTAGGCCAGCTGTAATTGTTCATTTCGCATACAGAACAAAAATAATCATAACCACGTAAACAGGGAATCAGATTTCTTGGTGTAGTAATAGTGGGATATCGATCCCAGTTCTATAAGTAAACACAGACCTAAGCTAAGTGTGTAACCAAATTCCAAGCAGTGTCCTGGCTCATAATCCCTCAGAGTTATCTATCACATATAAAATGGTAGGGCATAATATCAGATGCCATGCTATGATAATGGAGTCTCGCAACTGAATCTGTCTCAAACAGCCTAGTTATAAATATTTTTGCAGTTCCTAATGAAGACGTTTTCTTGTTCAGTGGTATTAATTTGCACAGAAATAGTTAAGATTGAAAAAAGGAAACCTCTCTCTCTCTAACACCTTAAAGCCATTACAAGATGACGTCACTAATGATTTCAACGGATTAGGTCAAAACCAGTAAAAAAGCCAAAATTATGACTTATTTATTATAATGAACTGATGAACATGACAAGCTCCAGAAGTGATAATCTTAGGTATTGATACATTACAGGATAAAATCCATGATACAATTTTAATAATAATAATAATAATGACGACCTATGGGGTTAACGGAATGCCTGATGCATCACAAAGAACACATTATGGAAGTACGCAAATGAAGGTACTGAATCTGAACATATTGCTTTCGATTTGTCCAGCTATGACTTTATGCTTTCTGTTGAAACTAGACAATATTTGTGTAAGATCTAAAATATCTGTAACGGTTCAATAACACTGACTCTATCCACACATCAATCTAAAGTCAATGAGAAGTAAGATTAAGAAATGAAGTTGATATAAGCTGAAGGCATAAAACATGGCAGATAGA